TTGAATTTTTATCTAAGCTATCATAGAACTCTGTTTTATATAATTTTATCAGTCGTATCGTTGTTTTAAGTATTTTTTTTGCACGAACAGTGGTCGGGATGAGATAACACTGCCTAGTCATTAGCTTAAACTTATGAAAGATGTGATCTATTCGTATACCACTGGCTAGTATCATACCATTTCTGCACTCAGCGTCATACATACGATGATGACAAACCTCATAATCTTTGGAAAAGGGTTGCACGATCCTAGACAAGAGCCCTGAAAAGAGTTTGTCCTTATGCAATTACGATTCCTATCAATTTCCTTTGATACTCCACGCTGTTTTATTTACCCAAAATTTTGCACAAGCCAAATATGATCGTGGAAGCATGTTTAAATAAAAACGTTTCAAGCCATTCTTGTGAGACTTGTTCCTACTTTTAGGTAAACAATTCTATAAGCCTGAAAGCATTTACTTTTCCATTTTTAATACAAGCCTTTTTTGACCTGCATTATTGTCATGGCTTAAAAGAACTAGCTCATTTGTCGGGGTTTTTATTGCCCTAAATTGCTAAACGATCAAACATGTTTGCCAAAGACGTTTGTTCTACAATAGGCACAGTGATTTACTTTTTTAATACACCTTTCAAGAGACTTCTTGAGCTCCCGTCAGTTTGTTTTATCACTGCGACCTACTTTGCGTATGATACTGAGTAAGAACACAGGTAGGATAACTAGCTGGGCTATATATAAGCTCGCATGCGTGCAGCATGTCTGCGAATGCAATGAATTGCATTATATCATGCTAAATGAATGTTACAGTTGACACGTTTATGGCTCGACCAATACTTTTGGCACGCTTCAAAAAATATTTCCTTTAATTTTCGTCCTGTAACCATTAGTGACGGGTGGGAGCGCAAAAAATTTATAGCTATATGTATGGGGCGCATTTGACGGAAGAATAAACTTTACTAGCACTAATATTAAGGCTACAATGTGCGTTACCTGTTTCGCTAAGTTATAAGGTACTACTTGTACTGGAAAGTCGACTAAAGTGTTAACTTAGTGATATTCCGAAATAGGATCATCAGCATGAAACAAAACACAGATGTCCTACCTAGATGGCATCGATAACCCTATTGTTGATCAGACTATTGCTATATTTCAACATATTCAAGAAATGCCAAACAGACATTTAAAATTTTCCCGTATTGCTGGCTGGAGTAGGCTGTCATAGTGAAGGCGATTGGGTGGCGCATGTGAATAGATGGGTTAAGAGCATACCAAGTCCAAACTCATTAAACATGTTTTCAATGAAAGCCAATTGAAAGTAAATTGGAAAAGTCAGGCATACTATGTAAAAGAAATAAATTCGACTGAAAAAAATTCGAGGCAAAATAGGCACATATTTTATTATAAACTAAAAAAGAAATTATTGAAAGGTGTTCCTTATAGCTTTCCACCTGGTGTTTTTTCTAATGTTAGCTTCGTTTCTACTTCTTTCAAAGTTTGCTTTTGTTTTTTGAAAAACAAGATTTGATTGTGTGTTGAGTCAGAAAGGCGCTAGGTGGAACTTACATTAATATAACGGTAAGTGATAGTTGACAGCCGTAATCAATTAAGTACCATCTTTCACCAGCTTGACAAACATGGTTATCTGCAGACCTCCAAAATCCCAAATTTTAGGCTTGGAGAAGGATAGACCAATACCTCTCTGGACAAACTAATACAAAAAACAATACATACCCATATTACTTGCAAGTTGTCAGTATGTCTGAAAATCGTTCTGGCGCGTTTGCGGGGCCCTATCTAGAGTTTGCGTCGTAAAAGGTAAATCACCGAGACTGGGAAACATGTGGCATGTGGATTGCCTATAAATTTATATTACACTAAAGCATCATGGCCTATTCAGAGACGCGTGTTTTTTGTCGATAACCTGTTCAAAGTATAATCATTTAGCACTCTGTACTACGTTCTCGTCGCCGGTCGTTCCATGCATTTCACTGGCGGCTTTCCGTCTTTGCAGCTAGCTGGACATTTCCGAAACATTGATAACATAACATTTCCTAAAAAAAAATAAACATATTAAACATGGTCGTGATTATAAGCTATACTTTATGATCAGTTCATTGATGACTGTTTCTTCGGATACATGGCAAATAGTATAGCAAAAGAAATAGCCGTTATTCTATCAGCCTCTGTTATAAAGCACAAGTTTTAGCAAGCCACAAACTCGACCCGCAAGAACGACCTAATCTAAGAGAATGGAACATCTTTATTGGCTTCTCAACTAGCGTTGCACGCACTTTTACAAAATAATACAACGCATAGCAAGAAAGAGATAAAATTAATTGCGTAAATCTTAACTTCACGGCTACTCTACAGAGGCAGATTCAAAACAATGACTTTGAGTCGATACGTCCGATCCTTCTGGCATATTCGTAACATGACGAATGGTGCATTTCCGGAGATGTGCACTTATAATAGCAAATAAGAACATATTATCTTTCCTGGTTGACCCCCGGCATGAAGTTTGAAAACTTTCGAGTTTAAAGTCTGGTACTACTAATAAACACCGCTGAACACTACCAATAAAAAACGCTGGTGCCAATTTTCGCGCGGGTTCTGAAAAATCCGGGAAGAATTATCAGGAGGCAGACCGAAAGATTGTCAATATAGTTGAGGTTTAAAAATCCCAGAAATTAATCAAAATAAACCGAAATGTTACTTTTAACACATCTGGATTTTTTACCTTAGGATTAATGGTCATTAATGGTAGAGAGCAGAGTACCAACTTTTAATTGGGCTGTCCGTATAAGCTTCGATTGTAGCTCGTTCTAGGACCTTTTCGCCCTTTTGAACTTTTCATTATATTTATTAACATTTATTTTTAACATTATTTCTTGCATTCTGAGGTACTTTTGGTATACTAATAACAAAAAAATTTAGTTCCGCTTACTTTCTTCCATGTAGCCTACTTAAGCGGCACTACCAAATTTATACCTATCGTTGTTACTATTATAAAGCTATTTGCGAATTAATAAGAAAACATATTGGGAACCGCTAATGAGTAATCTACGGTCTGAATTGAAGATGTAATCGTTATGTTAGATAGTACATCAGAAAGGACAGTTTTAGTATATATCAAAAAGGTTCGTTAAAATAGCTGTTATTGTTTACATACAGTCCTAAAAACTCATAAGAAGAACGCTCATCCTATCTATATACGCGCGTCGCTTAGCCATCCCACCTTCAAAGGTCAAGGACTTCGTGAAACAGATTCTGGCAGCATTGACGACTGGGGAGCCGACCCTGTTCGCGACACGGCGGATCACCGCAACCATTTTCGAGGTCTATCCCAAAGCTTGCAGTGGAGCCCGAGTTCGAAGAAACACTATTACACAGTGGAACTATAAGCCGGCTGCAACTCTACCGCTCCTTCCCCGAAAGACCTAAATTTCCTCGTGCTAACAGAGAATGGGCAACTACCCATTGCCTTGCGTGGCCAGTGACTAAGTCTCGTAGCAGTTGCTGTTCGGCCGGTCAACCTGCGTACCTGTGGAAAAACTAGTCAATAAACTAGAAGCGCTGCCTCTGATCATTGTTGGCGGTTTCAACATACACCTCTACCAGCCGATCTCGAACCGCATTATGGCACTTCTAGACCCGTTCGCGGGCTTTGCTTGCTGAGTAGTAAATCCCATCTCGACACCGACCCTTTAAGGACAGGTAGGAAGTTAGTCATCGATAATAGGGTAAAATCATACAGAGAAAGCCATTGTTAGAGAACGTAAACATTTGCGCTCACGTACCAATAACGATATACCGCATTGTCTAAGTTGTGCCTGCGCGGACTGTCGAAGTCGTTACAACCCCTAGATGTAAACAAGCTCCTAGAACGCACTAACGAATTTCTTCCTGTCCCTGAACTGGTAATTGCCAAAACCTGTGCACTTACTACAGCACAGCCTTTCCGTTCTGCCAGGAGGCATAAGCCATGGTTCATCTATAGTTGGGACTTTAGACTTATGGCCGAGATACACGTAATGCATGACAAAGGCAACAATACCTTGAATGACTGGGGAAACGTTTGATGGTCGATGTGGAACAGCAACCATACAAGTGGTTAACGCGCCATGACCGGGTTAGCTTCACATTCCTCATGAATCACTCCAAGGAATACAATACCGCGTCGGTTTTCGCCGCAGTCTAGGAAAAAAGAATCCACGCGAGACAAGGCGATGTCTCTCAACAATATTTCACAGTGTGGGATCTAATGGAGAATTTTAGGAGCTTATAAAATAAGAAAGCCACCGGTCCAGATAGCATCTGTAATAAGTGTTTCAAATGCACCGTCGTTCTCGTCGTATGTTGTAATAAATGGTTATATACTGGTACATTTCCAGCCTAGTGGAGAAGCGTTACTCTGTTAGTGACTCTTTAAGTAAAAGATGATCCTACCGCGCCACCTTCATGGTGGTAGACAGAGATATATAGAGTTTGTTACAAGCTACTTCCCGGCCTGCTAAGAGACTGGACAGCTACTTAAGAATCGTTTACGTCATCCCATTGGAGCAATATGGGTTCGGGAGAAAAGGTTCTGCGGGTATGGCAACAGGATTCTGATAATTCATGCCAGGAGGACATTGGCCACGCCGCGTAATCCGCTATTTCCGCGGTTTTCTTCGACACCAAGACAAGCTTCGACTCGGTACTCGGGGACAAAGTCATGCTTACTCTAGCCGAAATGGTGTCCCGATGAGTGTGCTCAACCTTCTCGCTGCGATCCTATCTGAGAATAAAGTAATTATAGATAACGGGCGTTCGAACATCAGCCCTTTACACAAACATTCGGCCTGGCTTAGGGAGACTATATATATATAACTAAAGCCCACTTTTATCTCCGCTGAAAAGTTCTCCTGATCAAATAAGAAAGCCAAAGATTGACTTCAACGATGGAAAATTTTAATTCTAAAAGCAAGACATTTTTAAACGACTGATTAAATAGACTCAACAATTTAACCTGTGACTTGTTGTCTAAACTCATACATTCTTAGTTTTTTGATGTACATTTTTGAATTTTTTTTTCCATCTACTATTTACAACCATAGCTATGATTTTCGCTAAAACTGAAGCACCTAACATTAAAATAGAGCCGCCGTTTACCTTGTTGCCTGCACCAAGCTTGGCCATAAAACAAACTCTTGGATGAAATATCTAATTAAATTATTTAATAATATGAACTCGTCGGAAATGCGTGCACCTGTTGTGTATTTTCAATTGATTAGACTAAAGAGGGCGTATAGTACAAGTGATTTTGCCTACGATAAAGGTGTTAGGTGCCCACTAAATGAATAGGGGCTGATTTGACAAATATCTAAACTTGTTCCTTAGCAATCCGGTAGTAAGAAACGACAATATGTCGAAATGAGAATATCGGAAAAATTATCTCAACTTTAATCTTCAACTTTATTTACGTTGTTAAGCTTAACGTATAATGAATTCGATAGAATAAATTTGTCACCCTAAAAACTTTAGGATCATTTAAGCGCCAGATTTTTTCACTACAGTCACACTGCTCAAGTATGAAGGGGAAAACATTCGATTATGTGTCAAAGCGTTTATCGAGCAGCTCAACATATCGCACATTATAATTAGGTTCCCCTTTGTCCCCTTGTTCGTTTTCTTTAGTCACTTAAGTGCACCATGCAAAGAATATAAAATTATAATGTAAAATTAAAACGGGTGGTAGCAGATTGTATCGGTCATTCTTGTAGTATCAATTTGATTTCATTTTGCCTTCACGACTTTATTCGTTATTGTCTTGTTGTGTCACAACACATCTGCTATCTATAGAAGATGCGCCCATGCTACAACCCGGTATGCTGCTGTCGTTAGGTGATAAAATGCGGGGGTGGAAAAGGGGGGAGGCGCTCTAGTTTAGTGAATCGGGTGACATGTCCTTGATGTTCTATAACGTTAAGTAGCAAGTATGACATACTTATTACTAACTGCGAAAGGGGGCTTCTCTCGTAATTTACCTGCTTACTATACTGTTCTCCCGTCTCGCGCAGTTTTAGAAGCGACCGTGACATTGAATATATTCGAATTTATATACTCACTGGCGGTTAGCTAACGAACAAAATGTTGAAACGTTAAACACAAAATGTTAAATAGGAAAACTCCATTGCGTACATGCTAACTAGACCGGTTTGGTCCACATATAACTTTAAGGGTCGGACAGTGCGTCTTGTAGTATAAAGTCTCTTCTTTGTTTCACTAACGATTAACGTTTGCTTATCAGTATCTCATTCTGTACGGGGACATATTCTGTCTCGCAAATGCGGCGACTCGAAATAATTATAGTGTTAGAACTTCACATTATAATTTTACTCTTATCATAATCCTTGTCAACTAGATCTTCAGAGAAACAGCGCTTTAGCATAGAATGGCTTTTGACTTTCAGTTGCCAGGAGCAATACATGCACATATCTACATACATTTCAACAAAACACTAGGATGTTACAAGTGTAAACATTAACGAAAATTGTCCTTTTGCACTCACTATAAAAATAAGCTTGCTTCTATCCTTGATGCTAGTGCACTAAGACATCCTTACGTCATAGCAACTACGATCTTTACCAAAATAACAAGGTGCTGAAATGCAATGAGGATACACACAGCAACCGAATGCTAAATAGAGTCGCTTTTTATTAAGTATTAAAAAAAAGAAACAAGCCTGATCACTGAATGTTAAATTATTTTTTTATGTTGCTCCTTATTATTTCTACGTTTAAAAAAAAACCCGTAAAAATAAGGCGCCGAGTTACTTCATGTTCCAACAGTATACAGAGTCCAGCTAATAAAGGACACTGAGCTATGCCACTTCCGGTTAACACCGTAGCCTTCCGAGCATCATACTTCTAAATAGGTCAGTGTATATTCGCTGGGCATAGGACTAAAAGAAACTGGACAGATATAATGCATAAGTAATAACCCTTATTGAAATTGTCAAAACGGTCTTTCTGACATTCTATAGGGTCGTCATTATTATTAATAATTATCACCATTATTATTTCCCCAATTTTATTATGATGATTTTTATTATTATCCTCAATATATAGTGTATCTAATTAGTAAAACCGCCTCAGATTGATGTTATTATTAATTATTTTCATATCAGATACGATTATGAGGGACACCGACAAAAAAAGGGCTATATTTGTGGTCTATTATAGCTATCAGGTACTCTGAGGAATGAATGATATGTATGCCGTTGAGAATGATAGAAATATATCTTCCTGTAAATAGTCCGTATTCTGGTGTACGGGATGGCTCAAAAACAAGGTAAGGGATCGTATAAATAAATACTTCAATATTAAAAAAGAAACTCCCTAGTAGCAATATGATAACAAACTGACTAGTTGGTGCATGACCTCTTGACATGCACGCAAACCCAGTGCTATACTGTACAACATTATTTGTAGTAGAACTTCCATTTAGGGCGTCGTCAATTGGCTCGTTTCGTAACTTCGTGCTAATCTAAACTTGATTTAAAAAGCAATATTTGTCAAGCAATTTTTTCTGTTAATACGGAAAACTGAATATGAAATATATGAATTATAATAATATTATGCTGAATATATGAAATATATTCAGCATAATCGTACCGTTAAGCACGTTCTAGTAGAAGTTCAGGACAAATCTACGTTCAAGTTTAAATTGACTGGAAATTCGTCCTTGATTATTTGAGAATTTGTCTTTCTTTGAACACCGCAACTACAATCGAAATAATGCAACTGGAAGTAAGCGAAATCAATTACTGCGTACTGTCTGATGCATTACCCTATATACCCACGTGGCCAGTGCAATGGCACCTAATTGAACGAATGTTGCTTCACATATTTTCGAACGATGGACAATAACTGATGAACGCATGACCATGCGAAGAATGAGTCTTTCAGATACCTACGGAGTGAAAATAACAGTGACCGATTTTGCCGGCCAGTTTCTCAAATCTTGCATCTAAAGCTATGGATTTAGTTATTCACAACGTCAATACGAGCTTTGAGCTCGATTCTCAAACTTGAACTTAGAGTTCGACGACCACTTATTGCTGCGGTAGACTGACCATTTCGCTGGGCTGCCTTAATCCGACGGCCAATATTATTGGCTTAGAGATTATTCTGGATCTTTACGGTCAGGGCTTTCAAGTGTCAACCCTAAGTTATGCAATTCCACTCACTATTCAGTCACTTTTCGTTCTATTTTTTGTTTTCATTTGCCTGTGCGTTCATATGTTTATTCACTCAAATTGTTTCTGTGTCAAATGTTAAAGGCCTGGAAAACGACCTTTGTCTTCTCGGTAACCCTGTGGAATGTGAAACAACTGCGGATGAAGATTGTCACGGAACTCGAACTCCTGGAAGGTCACCCGCGCTGTGACTGTGGGCAGAATCGGCAGCTCAATCTTGACGGGGAATCCCGATGGAAGCTTCATTTCAACAAACTCTCGAAGTTTATTGAAGTGCTAGGAGACAAAAAGCCAAACACAGGCAGTTCAATTATTACTTCGAAAGCCTTCAACTCAGATTCCAAGTCGATTCAAATCGTAAAGTTTTCATGAATAGATACGGAGGTCTCTACTATATTCTATGATAATCAAATAACGCAATTAAACGTCGCACCAACTTAGCTAGGTTAATTTTTGCCAGGAGACTAGGATATTTAATAAAATAATCAATAATCATTGGTAAGTTACATTCGATACAATTGCAGTTACAATTTCGATGAATATCTGTGACGAGCGTAAAGAACGAAAATTCTTCACTTACCTTAAACGGCGTTATAAACTCAAGGATGTTGAGCAAATGCTCAACCGACATAGGGAAGTCGTTGCTCATGGCAACGACGGCCTTAAAACTTTTTCGTGTGTACTTGCATACAGGCGTCCTGCCAAGTATGGGAGCGTCTTCGTTATTATTATTGTTTATATAATCATCCCATGTCAGCGTACAAGGCGGTGGAGGTGGCAGCGATTCACGACGAGTTGGATGTTCGATTTCGGCAAGCGCTGACGTTTTGCCACCTGAACGTGAGTAATGAAAAATGCAATCTTGGAGAAAGGTTTTCCAAAAAAAGCGCCAAGCCAACTGGGGGCGTTTGCAATAATTAGCGCGATGTCGTTTTAATTAGCTTGAACGATAAGACCTGTTTTTGTGGTACAATAATATTTGCAAATTTGAATCAAATACTGTTCGGCCTTGTTCAGTATACCCTGTCGAAAAATAGTTTCTTCTTCGTATAGAAATCCAACAAATGCGGCTTGCGTATTATGCTACGGTTGAAATTCACTTATTGACTCGACTTAATGAAAATCGAAATGCTATATAAATAAGTATTATTTTTGAGGTAAAAAGTATTTTATTTTTAGTGTTTTTCCGTTATAGTACCTTTGATACTATCCACCATGGCCTTCTGGTTAATGAGATCCTGTTCAGACAGATGTTCTCGTCTTTTTCGCCATTCAAACTCTAATCCGTGTACGTGATAAAAGTCTGCTAAGAAGCGCGATACCTGGCAAAAATTAACTTAATTAGCCACATTATTTTACGTATACTGTGTATCTAATAGGTTTATATTCCACTAGCTAATCGCAACTAAAGTAAGCTATATTAGACAAGGCGATAGTCATATTGTACTTGCTAATAACTTTTTACGGTTATTCGAATTGAGTAGTTTATGAGGCAAATGAAATTGATAAATTTATAGAAAATAAAGAAGTCTGAAATATCCAAGCTGAAGTCGCTTGAAATTTAGCACCCTTTAGCAACGATTAAGGTTAATTAATAAAGCACGTTCGAACCTTTTCCGTACGACTTTCCCGTAACAGCCACCCAGTCTGCACGCGTGAAAAGGTGACATTCTTTGTCGAGAAGTGGGCAGACAAAATATCTGTGCTCATTAACATATCGATTTCATCCTCCAGTTCAGCCTCACTTTCCTTTTAATAGAAAAAACACTTATTATGGGATTAAATTTGACTAGATTATGCACAGTATTAGTAAAGTTATTTACGTGAACTTTATATGCTAAAAAATACCTCAGCGTATCTTAATATGTGTGCCTGCTTTCTAAAATCGTTACATCGATAAACCGAATTTTCAACCATCGGCGATTATTTAAAATGTACCTATTCACTTTAAAAAATGTATTTAAACCCAGAAACTCGGTTCATTGCTATTTGTATATCGCCAACTTGGTAAACTTAATTATAATTGACTATGTAACATGTAAATATGAATCCATGAAAAAAAAATTTACAACTAACTAAAAAGGCCACTCACCGGGTAGCGCACCATTTGAAAAACCTTTTGCGTATTATCCAAAACAACGACCATTTTTCCAGGCTGGCAGTTGCCTTGCAAAAGAAAAGTGATATCGCCACGTTCCCATTTCATGTCTTGAAAGTCAATGAGAGTTGTGTCCATCCGGATCGAGTTGCCCCGTTTTTGAATTCGGCAGGTGTCCGATGGAAGGATCCTTGATACTAATGGAACTGAAAATACAGAAACAAAAAACAGAGGAACAAGTGATATTTAACTGGTATGGACGAACAATTTAGTTTAACAGAGCAGTGGTTGTAGTGTTATGCGTCAGATATTTAGGACGTATTCGAGCAACCAAAAAAGTATGGCAAATCGTTTTAAGCAAATATGATTGACGTAGCGCTTACTCCATTTGTATCGCTAACCAGTAAAATAACTGCCTATGAAACGTACTCCAGCTCTGGAAATCCCATTTTAATTCCATATAAAAGTCTCCTATAGCAGATAGCATGTTCAATAGATCAGGTCTCCGCCCTTGCATCGTATCCCGTGATTGCTGCTTCAACTTTCGAAGAAGCCCGCCTATCAACTGACGATCTCCACGGCTTACTGCTTCCCGGAGAGGTGTCCATCCTTGAGCATTTCGAACCTACGACACACAGTAACCAAATGGCAAATCTTACAAAAAAGAACTTGGGAAGCTTGTTCAACAAAGATTTAATTCATTGGTCCAGGCCATATTGAATAGGACGAACGAGGTCAAGTTCAGAACTTAGAGTTTCTTTAGTTTTTTTTCTTTATCTTTTTATATACTGTTCAGTATGAAAGCTCGAGCAACGAGTCGATAGATAATGTATTAACTGATGAGGTCGTTAGGACCACGCACCTGTACAGTAGCTCCATTTGCTAGTAGTAAATTCACGATTTCATTATATCCTAGCATCACAGCAAGATGCAGCGGCGTATTTCCTGAAATATTTTACATTCACCTAAGTTAAACACTATGCTTAGTCACTCTACCAAAATGACTGAACGTATGTTATGAAACGAAGGATTTGCAGTAATCTATAGACCTTAGCATGAGATATTCTTCGAGCCACTATCCAATATTCGCTCTAAAGGTTCCCCTATTGAAAGCTTATAGGGAGCATATATTTCTTTACAAATGTTTTACTACCCAAGCATAATTAAAAAATTCAAATATATACGTACCTACGTTCCCGTATATATGCAACCATCTTTTAAGAAATGTATATAGTACCTGATCTTTAAGTAGAGTTTATTGAGAATTTGAAAAATTCGTATAATAATTTTTGACTGCACAGTTAATACATGTTTGCTGTAATTGCGCACCTAAAATATACATCATTAAAAGCACTTGACATATACAGTCTAGTTGAATGATATTTTAGAAATTTTATAGAAGAGCTCACAGTCATCTATGACATTTGTTTCAAGTCTCGCGCTAGATCGTACATGATTCATATAATATTCAAAAAAGAAAACTTTGATACTTCTCCCTGAACGTGAAATGCTATTAATTTCGTGTTTGCTTCTGAATAGCCAGCCCTATTCCAAAGTTCGCCGTAAGCATATTAACAAAGAAAAAATAACAAATATTCTGCTTCTGGTCTTTGCCATCATCTACCGGGGAGCTACAACGCGAACTTGTATAACAATAGAACGCAGAAAATCGACCGTCGCCCTCATGTGAAAGGTCAACAATATGAGGTGTCTAGTTCAAATGATCGCTTAATCCAGTATCTGCTATCACAAGTGGCAACAATAGCAAATATCCAATCGTAATAGATGTTTACATAGTAAGAACAATGTATGGATCGTTCCATTATTTCAATCAAGTTCACGTATTAATTAAAGCAATTTCTTTTTACTGTGAGCTTGCGACCTTGTGTTGGCGGATTCTATATCCTCTTGAATTATCCGTCGGAACTAAGTAAAACGTAAATCAAAGAACTCAGCGTAAAAGAAGTCAAATAGCAGGTAACAGGTGTTAGCTGACCCAGCTCGTTGCGGAGGTCTGGGGCGTAAGGCAGAAGTAGCTGTCGATATAAAGGGTAAAGCGTTTTCTTTCATTGCAATTATTCTCTTTGCATAGATACATAGACAGCACACGAAAACGACTAGACATGACGAAACAGCTGCCGGAAGCCAAGCCTTGGATGACTAATTCACGATTCAGCTCTTGCGGAGGATTTCTTTTGCAGTCGAATTCACAACCATAGAAGGTTAATGTATGAGAGAAATTCATCGATTTTGTCAACATCAGCTTGTGGGGTTAGTTGAGTGAGCTATAGTAGTCAGTAGATTGACATTTTGCGTCTTCATGGATATGTAGTTTTGTATTTTGACTGCCATTCATGAGCTGTGTGTTTTAGCTTGAAACCGACTTGGAAAAAAATGTATACGTTGATAGGAAAAATGGATCACAATGTCCCTAATTGTAAAACATACACCCTCTTCTACTTCAGTAAATAGTATTATATACAGAACGCAAGTTCAGTGGAAGCTAGAAACTGTTAAAACTGGTCGACCTGGTATAAAGCCATGGCTTAAGCTAACTTAACGGAAAGCTATGTTTGGTAACGTCATTAGTTTAATGTAAAGTACTCTTCTTTGTAAAGGAGTAAAGTAATAGATAGGTCATTTGTGCTTGCCTTAAAAGCAGTTTTGATTAACCAGAGTGAACAATTTTTTATCTCTCTATTATATGGGTATGTGTAGACAGGATATTTCCATCATCAAACGTTATTGGAAAATATAATATGCATCCTAAAGCTCACAAAAACTCATTTGATATATTAAACTCTTTAAATATTTAATTTATAGTTGAGCACGTCATGAACAAATATAAATCAGAATCGATGCCACTAATCCCAACAGCCTTTGGTGTAAATTACTCTAATGACAATATGAAGACACTACATTTAAATGTACAATATCATAATGTTCATTTTCACATTCATGATACAATTAGAAAATAACAGTTTAAATAAACCATACATTTAAATCATAGGAAAATATATTTACAATATCAATAATAGAAATAAAAATACAAGCAAGGTAAATACGAGCATGGGCTTATATATATAAATCCTCTTAACAATGAATCTTTATCTCACATCTGATAAAGGGCAGACCTGTTAACATTTTTGGCCACAGGAAAGCAGGTTAGGTATTAACGGTTGTATCGTCAAATGTTGCACTTCCAACTTACAGTACCGGAGTATTATACCCCGTAATATACTTCTTACATAGTACTAGGCTGCTACAAGTAAATCACGAAGACTTTTTTTTGACAAAGAACTTTAGAATTACGCACCGCTATTAGACGAAACTTGGCGAGCTGACACTTCAGTCTTCTAAAACACTGAGTGGAAACTTATTGGGTTTACTTTAAAGGAAATTAGTTCAGAAGTAAAAATATTTAATAAAATCAACACTCGGATTTTAAGTTCTTGTTTGTCGAAGGTCACAGCGCCGCGGAAATTTATCGAAGATTGGTAAAGACCTTAGGTAAGAAAGCCTCAAGGAGAAGCATACTACGTGAGTAGTGCAAACTTTTCAAGAACCGAGATGGGAATATTGCCAACCAGTGTGGAGGAAACCAAATACCGGGACCCGAAACACAAGAACGTATTACCCAATCAACGAGTCTTTTCACGACAGCACAGCCTGCAGTTGTGGTTTAAAAGGCTTTGTTAGCCCGAATTGACATTTCACGTACCTCTTACAGATTTACCAATATTGAAAAAAAAAAGCTGAAAATGGGAAAACCTACTCAAAATGGTTCTCCCAAGGAAATACGTGTAGTGTAATTCACGCACAATTTGTGGATTCCTATCCAACAAAAAAATCCGTTTGGGGCATACGGTCGCCGTAGTTGAAGAGAACTTTAGTTCTCCCGGAGAGAGACCAGGGTAGGGATTGGCGTCGCTCTGGAGAGATATCGAGTTAGGTGGCAGCGTCGAGTAGATTCGGACGTAAGGTAACGGTTGTATTTACAACGAACATCAAGGGCATCTGCTACTATGGGATACTCGCCGAAAATAAAACAATGAATGCAACATCCTATCAAATTTTAATGGCAATCGAAAGTATGCATCTGATTATTAATGGCAACGCTAGACCTCATCGCCACCTTTCAATTACTTTGTGGCTTTTTACTCGCTTATTTTTCTGATCTACGTTCGTGCGATTACGGGGCTTGCATATCCTAAAAAGGCAATTGGTAAGCAAGCGTATCATACTATAGATTTACCAAAGTAAATCTATAGTATGATAATAAAAAGAAGAGGTAAATTAATAAGTATAATCGAATGGTAGGTATAAGTTGTGCAGAAATTGCCAAAGCGCTGGCATCTTTTAAAAAAATAAAAAATAAAAGAGTACGTCTAATATATATGCCTCACCCCACATAAAAAGATATATATGTATATATGTATTCTGGAGTGATTGTATTAAAGTTGCTGCACAAAATGGTTGTCTCGCAAAAAAATGAATTTACAATGTGTGATTTAAATTAGGCATACTTATGTTTTCTTTTTTTATTTTATAAGCAACTAGGAAGATTCGTAATTTCGCTATATTGTTCCGCTATTATATGGATACCATACATATCTACGGTTTTTCGAACAAGCTTTGGCTATGGGATTACATAACAGTCGTTTGTTGCTCTTGAAGATGCAAAATATCTAAACTGGTTGATAGATCGAATCGAATCGCAGACCCACGCGCAATCTATCACTGAATTAACTGATGTTGCCTAAATTATTATTAAGGTTTATAATACTGACTAAAGCTAAACGACACTAGCATACTGCGTAATCTACTCTAGTGGTAATGAGGGACCTCGAAATTGTCATAATTTTATGTACTGCCAAACAGCAGCCTCCTTAATTGCAAACATCGTTATGAACAGACACAACATAATTTAAAATAGCACTAGAAATAAGAACACTGAGAAGTGCGACTTTTGTTAATCATGTATCGTTACCTAGTACAAAATTTCAATTTAAGTAAGCTCAATTCGCAAACAACGATGATCAACAAAAATAAAGTATTTAAGGTCACTCGGTACTACTTCACCAATGAAATGTTGTTTCGGCTGCCACCTAAGTAAGCTCTAGACGAAATTGCCGAATTTTTTAGACTTATTTTTTATTATTTTAAAAGCAAATCTAGTCTAAACGTTAATCATGGGGTTGCATTACATTCTACGAACTCTGTACACGACACTGACGCATTGTCGCGCCTAGTGCTTTTTTAATAATTGTGCTATACAAATAGACCGCTACGTGGTATTAAACTTTGTCGAACTATCTTCGAGTCATACGTATACGGTGGCCGGCTGGTGGGTATTTAGATAAGAGAATGTGTTGTTTTTGTTTATGGTCTATCAGATTTAAACTGTAAAGCACGTGTTTACTCACCACAAATACAATTTCCATTTAAGCCTGTCATGATACTCACACTTTAAAACCTAACCTAATAATACATAGATGATACATGAACCTATTATGATGTCTAGTGGCGTGCCAAGTTCTAGACGTGTACATTTTTCGTGTACTAGACGTGTACATTTACAGAGATTTTAAATTGCATCTCTGTCTTTCGTACACAAGGTCATGTGTTCTTTTAATGATTGCTGATGTGGGAGCACTTGCTGAACTAAGGTGTCGAGAAGCACAGCTCAAAATGAACAAGCGGGGTTACAAAAAAATAAAAAAATTTGACGCGATCAAGACGGTATTTAAAATGATTCATAAAAAATCATGTAACGCAAATAAATAGACAGATGACCGATTGCGACTAAACGAAAGGAACTGCCGAGATACATTATCGAGTACCCTTGCCATAGCTGAAAGAAATAGATATCATACGGCCTTGTCCGCAAAATCCACAGGCGTTGAGGCATACGTCGGCACAATCGAAGAGTAATTCCCCACTGGCGTACTAAACACGTACTGGACACGTACTAAACAGGAGAGGCGAAAATCGTGTCGACAGTATTCAAGAAATAGGTCATATTGCTTCATCGTTGATAAAGGGTGCTTATGCGGCGCGAAGAAAAGTAGTAATCATGGCGAAAAAATTGCAATCATAGTTTTGTCCTAGTTAAAAGGTAATCAATAAAAAAAAGACGTAGATTTAGTAACGTTGTCAAAAGCAAAATATGAAGATACAGCCATTGGTTGGCTCTTATTAGGATTAGATTAGGAAGATATGTAACATACCGTATTAGAATAGGAATTGATTTCGCTATGCAACTTGACTAGAAAATAATGCGGGGCGTTGAACCGTTAACTGAACAATATATCGTTTATTTTTTTAAGAAAACCAATGCGGAGATTCATATTAAAGTAACTCATGTCATTTTCCTAGGCCATCCTTTCTTTTTAGCACTGTTTAATCCAGATGATCATTTTTGTATCCGTAGCTACCCCAATGGTAACGTGTTTGTTTACTGAACTTTGGGAGCACGTGGTAGTCCAGACTCGAATCCATACGATACACTTTATTTCGTGCTGGCAGCAGCTAGCCGTCTAAAGCAATGCTTAACAGCGTAAATACCGGATCTATAACTCGAAACATTCATATCAGGTAATCACTATTAATGTGGCTGTAAACACAAGGTGCTCGCATTATCCACTTTAAAAATCGATTAATGCACTAGAAATATTCTTAAGAACCTTCCTTAATTATTCATACTTCATATATGAGGAGCTCTCTTTTGGCCAACCAAAACTGCGTATCAAATTTTGCGTGTTAGTTAGGGTCTGCTTTATGAATTGGCCAGTAGTTTTAGGCCCTGTATAATTATTGCAGTGACTTATTGGGGATTATTATGCCCCTCAGAGGAGAGCTACCAAAAAAGAAAGCGGAGTCTTAGGTACAATTGGATGCGTATAAGCTACGTTTCACACGCTACGTTTATTCCAAATGTTCGCCTCAACCTCAGCAAATGGATGTGGGCAGCGTGAAGACCATTCCAAAACAGGCGTATCAGCTTTAATCCCGTATCTAGTACTATTATCGTGCCAAAGCAAGCCCCTTGAAGTTTAATAACCCAGTCGTTAACTAACCGCCTGATTTGCACTCAAGCTTACTAAAGGGCTCGTCGTGATGTTGTTGTCAACTGCAAGTCTCTACCAACGTATTGTAAAACAAATTATATCCAAACTTATCATTAAGTTTCAATTCGATTTTGACAATGCTCTCAATCTTTTCAACATAGTTACCTTTTCAAAAACTGTGCCCTGCCTGAGACAGTTTTTAAACTATATCCAAAATGTCCAAATAAACAGGACCATATATTTTCTAAATAAATTCTTATCTATGAGTCTTGGCAGGTGGTTAAATTTAGCACAAAGAAATAAAAGTTGCATTTATTACAGAGTCGTACGGATCAAGCAGATCAGATCTACTGTTATATAGATGGCTGAGAAAAGGTTAAAACACGAAAAAGCGCAGCTATTGCTTTTCATACGGTGGGTATGAGCCAGATCTGACAACCCAGACACGAGCTAAGGGGAGTAGGACCTAAATAGAAGTGTATCATGGTTGTTCAGATTCAGAATATTCACCCGACTCAACAACGTACAAGTACACGAGCATAACGCAGAGATCAGTGCGTTCGAAAATTGGTTAACGTATTATTTTTTCCTGCCGCTTAGATCTGAACATTTAAAAATAACCTTTATTTATAGAGGAAACAGTGTTTAAATATTTATAGTGTGGATATTATGCATCTAAAAGTTATTTTGATATTCGAGATCGCGTTATCATTTTACCACTATCATATCAGACTAAAAAAACGAAGAGAAATAATACATGAAACACATTAGTATATAACGATACCAATCTTATGACCTGACGTGGCATATATGATTCGATAGACACTTTTACCATTCAAATAAGGTAACATCAAATAGCGACTATAACCTAATAGTTCGTTTCATGATACTTTATATACAGTTTTTCATTCAATACAAGTTGAAGACACTTCTCCGCTACACATTTTTTATGGCAATATTTGATCATATATTAACATGGACAGTGCTGGTGGCTCCGTTCCTGTTTCTAAACGGTAGTGCAACGTTGTCTCTAGACGTGTAAGTTAAGAATTATTTTCCACGTTTGAAAGCGGTCAGTTTACGAACAAGCAAATTGTTGTTATGCTCTATGAAAAAAATAAACTTGCCTCTTGGGGCAAAAGTATTCACTCAATCGACTCCATCTCCCGCGCGCAATTTTCTCAGGCGGGACCTCTAATGAGCCACAAAAAACTAGCCAAATCCATAGTCTTTTCACAAAGTCGCTTTGAATCAAACAAACATGCGGATTGACATCTTAAACAGTATACTTAGGTAGGTAATAAAGTTATATACGTATGTAAATATATATGTGCATATAAATTTTCTAACTCATGCACTTGCCATGGCATTTGCTAACATCTTTCTTAAAAATGTATAGTTTTTAAAATTAGGAGAGGCAACTATGATATAAACCTTAACGTTATTCGTGGTGACAAGATAGCTAGCTCAGCACGTATCGCTCGCCCACCACTATCGGTAACGGCTTAACGTCGGTCTGTATACATGAACACATTGAGTTTCTGAACTGTATGAGAGTAAACACTGACATTTATCATAACATACTCAAAGTATTCAAACGAGCATACCTGTATACAGAAGATTTGACTTGTATTCGTTCTCTGAATAAGCTTTTTGTGACAAGTCCTCATGTGGTGATTGTAGTGACTGGTGCCGTTTAATAACGAGCAGCTTTACGACACTCTTGCGTTTCCATCTAACTCACCCGTTGATATTACAATGTTTGTTCATTAACAAATAACTTGGCATTTTGTATGTAATGTTGCCGACATCGAATAAAGCACTCACCATATTTGTCCTTAAGCGAGAGATCAGTCGTCCGTACAAGCTCTGCCACCTTTTGGACATCGTGTTTAAAGACCGCTTGGTGCAGCTCAAAGCCTGTGCCTTCGGCGGCCATGCCATACAAACTGACAGCTGTTGAGTTACACTACAAATACTCAGCACACATACATAACAAGACCGTCTGAACATATGGTATACGGTTTTGCCCTTATTGTTTTTTTAAGTGTTCCTATTGTTGTTTTCCTTAACGCTTATCTTGCTTCTTAATCGAATATTTCAAAATGCTCGACTTCTGTTTGTCAGCTGGACTGAGCAAGGAATCCTCAACACAAGCAGTTCTGTGTGAGCCGGTGTCACTTGGGTTCAGCTAAGTGGGTTCAGCTAAGTGCATTAGAAGAACATCTACGCCTAAAGTAAATCAGCAGCAAAGAGTACGGAAAGATGCTCAACCTGATCTGTCGTTTTCTTAGTAGTCTTTAATCAGTTTCTATTATGTCATCGCGTGCTAAATATCTCGCACATTGTTCCGTCAAGGGTTCACTGATTTTTACACATTCAAGAACACTCGTTTCGACCCAGCAGCATCAGCATTAACACAACCAACCAACAGTATCACTAACAAAACTAGTATACCCTATTTTTGTACTACGACTCTGTCGTTATTATGATACAATTCCACATATATTTGCTATTATACGTATGAAGTCACCGCTAATCAGTCATTAGAATGGCGAGTCACGAAATAACGTTCGTTTGCTATGGTTGAGGTTCGGGCACACCAACGCTATCTTCGCCTTTTATCTGTCCACTATCATTAGGTCAGACTCACAGGTTAGCTGCCTTTTTGATTCGATTACTCATCTGCAAAAATAAATAAGTGGTAAAGAGAAGAATGGCGGCGGATTCCAATTTCAGCTGAATGTATGAGACGAATAAAAGACTGTAAGTAGACATCAAATTCGTCTGCAACAACAAACAATTTTCACAGTCGAAATTGTGAGGGGAGGGCACCGCAGCGACAAATGGCCTCCTAGCGGTGATTCTGTATTTTGTCGTCTGCCAATGTTTGTAGATCCATTGGTTTACGGCGGGCTGTGACCACGAACGGTTCGGTCTCTTGGTTACGGCGATAGGGTAAGCGGAAAGGTTTTTGCATGTAGAAGAAAATCGTGGAGGTTCGAATTGTGCTGCGGGAGTATGATAAGAAGAACTCTATCCGAGTTGACAAGTTATTATGGAATCGTTGCAGCAGTTGTTATAGTAATATTTTTGATATTCTATATGTACCGATAGATTGATTATGTGTAATGATTGACGATAAATAAGCGAAATGCAGCAGTTTCTTCTGATGAAATTCTTTGATAAATTGCTAAAGTATGCAAGTGTGAGTGTATAAAAATTACAAATATTCCTAACTAATAAGTCGACTCAAAGTTTAAATAATTTTTTAACAATAAATAAGAACCTTTTAATTATTAACGGGTATGGTGATGAGGTTGAAACAACGAACAATCATTACAATAAGCAGCATCCAGTTTATGAATCATCAACTCTTAACACACTAGCGAAATACGTTCAAGTTATTGTGATTAAAAAAAAATGTAAATCAAGCGTGTTAAATACTTTCAGCAAACAAGAAAAACAGAAAATGTTAATTAAGCCCGACGACAATTTTAATAGGAACCTTTGAACGCGTGAAATGCACGAGTATTCAGTCAAGTACTTTGGCAAAGGCACACTGGAGCAATATGGGAAATTTTGTTAAATACCTTTAACGGATACAAATGATATAGCTTGCAAACATATACTCCATAAAAATACAGCATACAACGGTATGAAACTGTTGTGTAAGAAAAATACCCACAGGCAATGCCAGCCTTCTGAGGGTCCTGGTGCCGTATCTTTTGTCGGCCTTGTCTACAGATCTGAAAATAAAATACTATTTTGCTGAAAAAGAACCTGGATACGGTCTGGTACACGTTACAACTGAAAGCTTAATCTTTTTTAAAGCACGAGGCTCAGTACCATACTTTGTTTTGTTCTTTTGCTTATGAGCTACATACATTAAAACGAATAGGCTGCCAGGGTGAGATTTGATGTGAATTAAATAAAATGATTATTTAAAGAGGTTTTTTGATCTACCACGAAACATAATTGTGATGTTTTTTTAAAGCAGCGTTTCTATACAGAAGAAAAGCCACGTAACTGGGAAACTTGCGTACTTGCGCTTCCAACGAAAAGTTGGAAACGAGTCCTTATGGAGAGACATCGGGGCGAACCATTTGTCTAAGCTGCCCTCATTGTTCGTAACCAGTCGATGTAAGCGTTATTTGAAAACACTGGGCCTGCCACCAGCCAAATCACGTAGCTTTGAACCGGGAAAATGACCAATCCTCAATTTAGCCCAGCAATATAAATTGCTCTAAGATACTGCCTATGCCTCAATTTATCTTCATGATAGTTCGGAACTTAGTAAAAGCGACACAAGCAAAGTATTTCTTTGTTAAAATCATAAAATAGACGGATGACATTGTCATACACCCAAAGAACTATTTTCAATTGATCAAATGATGAGATCCAAATTAATACTGACAGGATTAAAGTATTTAAATTCAATGTAGGTGGCCGTCTCGCTACTTTCAGCGAACTCAGGCAACAGAATATCCACTATAAAATTTACCAGTTGTTTCTTTCGTATTAACTAATTAAAAAAAATTTAGTTTCCAGTCATGCAATAGAAAAAAACTCTTCAAAAATTCACATTTGCCATAGCCCTTTGACACTCTAATCAAAAGATAGCATTTATGGTTAGTCATGCTGCTTAATTGAATTTTTTAAATCAAACTAATTTACAGGTTCATCATTCTTTAATTAGGAATTTTTACGGTCAATGGTATTTCTATAAAACACCTGGTAACTCAAGCTTTTACTAGTTCACGTTAAATGGGTAAATTGCTTAGGTTTGCTTTTATTCCATAGCGATGATTTCAAATAAGTTGAAGTCTATCATCTAAGTTGTAGTATATTTGTGAATGCGTATACGATATATACGATAAGGTAAATATAAACGTTATTTAAGACCGCCAGCTAAGATTACTTTCAATCAGCCATAACGAAGACTTAAACGAAGGGTTTTGTGGAAGGGACATACTATCTAATTAGGAATAGCGGTTTTTGCCTGATAAAAGGTATTTTTAATTATATGCACTCGTCCTTAAAGCTTAGGTAACTCTTAGTTCTAAAAAATCGAATTTAGTATTTGTTTACGTTAGGTTCCACGCACCTCCAATAAGAGCAAGTTGTAAGGGTACAAGTCTCAAAGTGGGCGAAGGTTACTGTTTGGTTGGTGTTACGCAAACAAGCAAAGTCAGACCGAAAAAAATGAAACTGAACGAGAAGAATGGCATGAAACGTTCCGGATGATTCGCGCTCACTCAGCCAATAAGCATCTTTGGCCTGAATTTATATAACAGCAATTTGACATCATAGTCTAATGGCGGGGCAGCAGGTTTTTTATATGTAGATCTTTGGCTAATGTACCATATTTCCACGACGCAGGTTTTTAAATGAGTGAACAAAAAAATATATTTATGCTTGTAATCCTTTTGTCATTTTGTAAGTGGCTTATACATACTGTTGGTTTGCAGCACGGTTTCATATTCATAGAAAATAGATGTATTCCTTGCAAGCTGTTAACGTAGTTTCTTTAATAAAGCTAGAAAAAAAATAAATTTGTGAAAAAGATAGAATAACTTTAAAAATATTACGTTTATACACTTGTTACTAAATAAAAGTTAATGTCTAAAGACTAAGAATACTTCTTTGTTTAGAAGGCATCTGGCCGACCTGATTTTAAGGTGTTTCGCTGTACACGACAAGTAGTTAATTTGCGCCCATCTATTTGGTTATTGGAGCTGTAGAAACTCAAGACAGCCAGTTCGTGCCTAAATTAAAGTGGGACAATAATATTGACGTATGTCATTGCCATTTTTTCCAAAAAGAAAAAGCATAACATGCTTTTTACCTATATTATACGGACATTATTTGTCTCAACCTTTTTCCACGAGCCAAACGGGAAATTCGTATACAGTTGTTACCATTCGCATCTAAATAACGAGGGGTCTATTAGGAGGGTCCTACCATTTTCGAAGAACTGTGTCGTGTGAGCTATCTGGATAACTATTAAGCTCAGATAAAATACTACCCGCGAATATCTGTAAAGGATTTCAAATAATATATTTTTGTGTACATTTCAGTGACGCACGCAGTTCACACACACCGAATTCTTCTACTAATCGGCATATTTTTAGGCAAATCCTCCTAGTACGATCACACAGACAGATAAGCAGACAAGCAAAAAACGATCGTTGTCAGTGAGCCCTTACCCCAAATCTCCAAACATTATTTTTTTTTCTATTTACTAAGCAAATCACGCCCCCGAAAAGTGGCTCTCCTTTCATACGAACAGCATCCAATTGTCACGCGTACCGCCTCAAGTCTATTCTTCTAGACAAGAGTGTTGTAGGTCGCCGATTGAGATCTCCGAGCTTACCCGATGAGCCACTGTCCTGTCCAGGGTAATTGGGTAAAATACACAGACTCTGTCTACTCTGATGTCCTCAGCAATTGTGATCGCCCCACTTTGCCCACTTGCCTTTATCGAGACGCTAATCAGATCGTGCCAGTGAAGTGGATAGCCACTCAACATTCGAAATGCTAAACTGATATGTCCATCAGATCCGAAACCCGTTTAGCTGCATCAACATCCAACTTCTAAACGACGACGCCTCTCAGTACCATTTCTGCGTTGTCATCATCGCTTTGATAGCGACAGCAGCGACCTCCATGAAGCGCATGGGCGAGGCTGAACGCACATCCAATTACATTTCTTTGTGTAGGCTAATTGATTTTATTAATAGAGTAGTAGATAAAAAGGACGACAGGAAACCGGTTAAAGTTCAGAGGCCTGTTGTTCGCTGAACTAGCCAAGGAGATCAATTCTTATGGATTTTTTTGCGTACGTGCTGGGTCAGGGCCATTTTGGTAAGATGTCCTTAACAGCATTTAGAATTCCGGGTCAATAATTCAAGTCGTAAGGAAAACAATGACGACCCATAAGTAGTAATGACAGTCAATTTTCGGTGTTGTTCAATAGTATATGATATAAATTAGCAATCTGTACATGAACAAACTTTGTTATGAAATAAAAAAGAATATAGGTTGCATTGAAAATAAAGCGACCATCAAATATAATTGATTTGATACTGTTTCCTTATATTGTTTCTTTATATATTATATATTTTATATATAACAATAGTACTTGTATGTCATAAGTAAATTCATCTCTCTTGCCAATTTAATTGGCTCGTTTTATCCAGTAGGTCATTCACCTAAAATAACAAATATCAGTCGAAAAAGGTAATATTATATTTAGCCGAAAAGGTAACCTTTTGCAACCATTTTTTTTGTGTAATCCTGCGAGTTCTTTGCTTTTCCTCAAAGCAGTCCTCTTATACATAACTTTAATTTTTCGACATTTAAAACTTCTCGTAGAGGCAATATTGTATATTTCAGTTGAATAAAGGTTGGAAAACACAGAAAACAACATAACAGATTTTTAGGTCAAAAAAAAGTTGTCAGATAACAGACAACTGTCTCAATTTTCCATTTCCCAGCGATAATTGTATCTCATTCTATAAAAGCAAGCCTTGTTTTTAAGCCTTGTTTTTTCATCTACTTTCGCCTTCGCAGTATATCAGTGTACGGGTACTGCAGTAGTGTATACATATCAGCGACCTAAAACAGCCGATGTTCAGCAATACTGACCTGTCTCCCAGGCCGCTATCTGAACAGCGGCCTTGGCACGCGGCTCGTCCGGTCTTTCAAGGTGACGGTAGGTGCCGTGGCACGCGAATCCCCTGAATTCTCTTCGTTGGACTCTCCTTCGTTGGGAAGCCTTGGAGGCCTTGTGTGACCTGACTTCCTTCGTTAGGTGTGAGCAATAGGTACAGAGGTAAGATCTGTTGCCCTAGCAGCTCGCCTTGCCTCAATTAGTTTTTGCCATCACTGGTTCTCATGCAAACACAGCTCAAGCACCTCAAACGGCCGAATACCCGTTTCGCGCCGACCGCGGCAGCTCTTCTGCAGTTGTCTCTGTTTGCGAGGCAGGTTAGGTTGCTGCAGGTGCTATCTTTGCCACTGCCAACGCCGGCATGAACGACTGTCTGAACTGTCTACGTCCAACTCGCTGCATAAAGCTGCATCCCCTTCTAGGATATACCCTTCACGTGCCACACCGCCACCCGGCCTAGAAGGCTCCCCACTGACCGAACAATGGTAGTCTGCGCTTCTGCTGTTCCCGACAGCCAAGTTGTCAAAGGAAGTTCATATTAAAGACGATATGTCATATCCCAACAGGTAGGCCAAGGGTCTTTGGTCTCAGAGCTATGTGTGTTGCTGCGGTACGGCTATGGAAGTACGATTGCTAAAGCACACGAGGATTCGGTAGCCCATGAGAAAGAAAAGTTGAGAAATAAAGATAAAGAACGAACATGGGAAAGAGTGTAAAAACGCCGTATGGTGCTAGCCTCTATCGAGAATCTAGTAGCGGTATGCGGCGTTCCGCAAAGCTAGTGGGAACACGGGGATAATGGGAAGTGGGGGAAGAGGGATCTAAGTTTGGCGCCTTTTCATCTCCTACTAACTACTACTATGTCTGTGTGTCCCTGCCTCCTTTGCTCCGTGAGGGAGGGCAGAGCGCGTATACGTACTGCCACAGAAGAAGGCGGCCGCAGCGGTCGTACAGCCGTGAACGACGCCTGTGCTGTCTTGTTCTGCCGCGTGCCGGCCGTAGTCGCTCTAGTCAGGCTCCTTTGACGGCGGGACAGACAGCTACCCCATCCTTCATCCCTCCTCCGCTGCCACCCGCCGCTTAGGCCTCTCCGACAGTTCCCTACCCCCATAATTCAGCCAGCAGGACAGTGCTGCTACGGAACTTCATCGCCTTCATGTCCTTCAGTCTATCTGCTTTCTGCTGCTCTTCGAACCGACCTCTCAAACGAAGTCGACGACACGGAGATCTATTACTACTACTACTACTAACATTGCGACTCGTTGTCGCAGTCGACGAAGACGCGAGAGGCCTCAGATACAGCAGACGAGCACGTGAAAATTAAACAAAGAAACGAGACTAGTGAAGAACAACAAGTTAGTTCTTTTTTTTATTCAACGTCATCATCACATTCTTTGTTCGAAGTTTGCTTTGTCGTTCTCCAAATTGAGGAAAAATTTAACCTTCTGTTCGGTAAAATCGTAAAGTTACGCTTCATAAAACGTACGTACGGTAGGTGGACCTAACAGAAAAAGTGCACGAGCATACATGAAGGCAAATACATGGATGAGAGAGGCAAAGTGTGCTTGACAAGAATCGGACTACTGAAAGCCTTAAGCGAAGAACTACATAAGAAGATCATTTTGGCATAAAATTTTGTGACAAAGGCCACAAGGTTTCGAGTGAGTTGCTAGGTAGCTTCATTTGGTGTAAAATTTTATTAAGGGATTTTAACTACTGACATTTAGTGGCGGTTTGGTCCAGAATCGTAATAAAAGTTGTCTTCGGAAAGAGGATTTTGAGATTTGACCACTTTGGTAGCACCGTAAATCGGACGTGAGCTTATCTTCAGCATTGACAATGACCTTTTTGGCGGAAATAGGCCACAGTTGCGTACCCCACAGACCGTCAAGCCTAGAAAGGTGTCGAGGAGGAACTGAATGTTTAGACAGACATCCAGAGCAGTAGTCAGTCCTTTGTAGTTCATTTGTAACGTTGATGCGGTTAGCTTAAGATAGTCCATTCCACATCCTGGGTCATAGCAACCTATAGATTAATGTGCTGACAGTCATGGGTGAGTTCCTTGTACCGCCACAATAACACGCTTTTGACGACGTTTCTTGTTGTTGTACGGCTCTACATTGCAATTAAAAAGACCATCTACAGCATTTAAGTCAACAATTCTTGACCAGCTAACGAAGGTCCGCACAGGCCTTCTAGAGTTTAGTTCAGAGCATCTCATGTATATACATATATATCTTCGAATTGTAGTTCTAAGGTATATCAAAGGCAACTGTGACCCAACCGCAACCTGAAAGTCAGCGCTAACAGGTCTCTTTAATGCTGAAAAATGTTAGGCGTTGATAGTTGTATGCAAAGTTTGAGGACAGTCAGTTTAATTTTCTAATACACAGCAGTCTTCAATCAACGGTGGACGAAAGTGCTTGAACGAAAGTTTGTCGCGCAACAACCCATTGGTCTAGTTTGGACTTGCCGGACCGATAGCTCAGTCGAGATAATATAGGTTGAGACCCGCGTGTGTTAGAGCCTGACTATAGCATGCAGGTTCAGAGTAAGTGAGGGGTGTTCAGAGTGGAGATAGTCTGGGGTTATTGTCGAGGCCTTGCCGGGGCCTGTGTCGGCAAGGGCTATACGAGATGAGTGGAGGATGCAGGGGTAAATCATTCGCTGAAAATGGTCTCCCATTTTGGGCAACGAGATGGGTGACGGCAACTGCCGGGATATGCCATTATTAATATGGAAGGAATGTCTTTCATTACTGCTGCTTTTATCTATGGCTATGCGCTCTTTGAGTTATTCTAGCCGGATAGGAGTAGGCTAGTCGCCGAGAGCGGGTGATGAAATGGCTGCGGCTCTTGAACGCGGTCCAAACCCAACCATATTCCAGCCGGCAACGGCATCATGAGTTCTGTTCGGATCGCCTTTCGATGTCTGATATGTTGTTAAGTATTCATAGACAGTGTGAAAATTGAAAAAGCAGACGGGATAAAACGATTCTGCCGCGGAAGCTCAGACATGCCAAAACAGAATACCCTGTTTCCCGTGCGGTAAACGGGGCATATAGACGTTAAATCACTGCAGTATTATTGCTTCGTGTCTGGCGGATGGAAGATACTGGCAAAAGCATGCAGCATCTATCAGTTTTGAAAATAGCAGCAGCAGCAGCAGTGGAATCAGGCTTTCTTGTGAAAGAAAAGTCGTTTTTCTGTGGGAACCGAGAGTAAACTGAATCATCAAAATTGCAGTGTGCACATGACTTAACTTAAATTGAAAACAAATGGGAGATAGGCCTGCTAAAAGCAGTTAGATAGATAGATTTAGTAACCGTATGGGATACGTAAGGCCAAATTACGAGTATAATGCAACGGACGTTTCAGTAACCTACATACTTGAATTACGTAACGTTCTGTTTGACGTTTAGATTTTATTCTGTGAATTGTAATAGTGGACTAGCAAATCAGATTTTTATTCTAAGTAGTGAATGTAAGAGCTGGTTAAATGATTCCATTTGTTGTTCGAGGCGCCTTTGCGTCACGTTCTACTGCACTGTTGTATACAACACGACAGTTGCGAGTCGTCCTAACGCATTGCGAAAGCAGGTCTGTGCTGGCAGATTCTGTGCTAAACTTAGCCGATAGTTGTCTCCTGCCTGGAGAATATTATATGTATTCCGATTTTGACCGAATTCAACTCCTGCATTTAGAATAGCCTAGAAATAAAGTTGTTTTCTCGTGTATGATTTGTTGACAGTTAACAAGTTCGGCGTGTCTTCCACTCGTCGTCCTGTAGCTGCTTTTCGGAAGGGGCGCCGGGGTGCAATGGCTAAGAAGATACGATTGTTTTTACTACTAGTTGCTGCACTGAACGTTTACCCGAGATGTGGAAACAGGTTTTTACGTTACCTCATGCTGCATTGATAACTGGTCAATTCTTTCGGGTTTGCAAAGGATGCCTACCACATAAAAAAGTAGTTTAATCACTTCCACTATTCTAAGCGCATAAATTAGACTGAGGTTGCAAGGCATACTTGAAAAACCTTCTACTTACATTTCGATTTTGTCGTTATCAGCCTTAGGCGGTTAAACCCTAAAGTCCCCTTAGTGTGAGCTGTTAATTTACTTGAACAGATTAATCAGGCCTGCTGGTCACCAGGCTGCATGGCAATAAAACATTGCAATAACAATGAAAAAAAGACGCATTTCGCTTCAACACGATTTATGATAAACCAGTGATTTTTCACTTCATAGCAAACAGTACAGCCGTATTGCAAACAAAAGAAGACCTTCTGTCTATATGTTGTTGTTATTATTATTATTATTACGTTACGTTTGACGCAAGACTTTAGCATTGTTTGATCGGACTGCCAGCAGTTTTTCTGCTTTGTATTATAACTCAGCCGAACAGTGTTAGAGTTTTTGAGGTAGAAATAGGCGCGTGGTTTTATCTGGTAAATCTGACCTACCTGTAAATATAAACAACGAAGGGAAGCACTAACTGTGCAGGTTACATTTGCTGCTCAGTCTAACGGACGGCAAATAAGCGCAGATCGACGCAACCAGCGCGTCTATAACATTTAAGTCGGATTGGTTGTACAGACTTATGCGGTAGGAAAGCTGCCCTTAGAGGCATGCTGAGCCCCATCAGTGCTTTTGATCATGAAGCTTCCTAGCGACCTAAATCTATATAACTGACATGCGGCAAGCCGAAATATGCTAGTCACTCGATGCACTGTCGGTAAAAAACATTTGCTTGATTGTCTAGTTGAAGTACAAGCATATATTACCTTTAAAATGTTTTCGAGTCAATTTCTTTAAAGGTTGTTCAAGCGAAAAAATAGCCTTTCATTATTCTGGCGTTTTAGTGCTCTGATTCTCCACATTTTACCACAGTTGCGTAGTCACAGCACGATGTCAACCAGTGCCGACAAGTGCTCCCTATTCGAACGTTATTGCGGAATGCCACATGGGCGTGAAAGGAGGCACTCACCTTTGTTCTCCCCGCACTAAATTAAGGGAAGGATATTTATAGAAGCGATGTAAAACTTGCCCCACGTGCCTACCATGCAAATTAGTGGGTTCCTAATGCAATAAAGAACACGGTGGTCAATGGAATACGATTAGCATAAATATATCGCAATGATCATGTTCGTAATGAAGCGCAGAATAAACGCAGGTCTCATATGGAGCCCAGCTCAGAGCCCACCTGACCTAAGAACGATCTGAGACGATAGAAAATTCGATTTCTTCTTTACGTATTTTTGGGCGGATGTCCTGTTCCAGCTCCCCTATCTTTATCCTGTGAAATTACCTTCTTTACACTTCGCTTACAAATGAAACTTCCTCACAAAGGATGAGCCGTAATTTTTTGTCAAGGTTCACCTTTGATGCGGCAGGCAACGCTTTGAACAGAATGATTATGATATTCATGAGCTATAGGGCTATGTTCATTGATACAGGAATGTGGCAGTATACCTTGGGAGCTTTCAGCTACAGTAGCTAAATAGAACCTTGCAATAGTACGTATATACAGGGTCTCTTTGGGGAAATATTTCGTATAACAATTGCTTCACAGCTATCTACAGCTGCATAGGATAATATTCTGTAGTCACAGGAATCATTGCTTACATCACAGATTTACATATCTGTTGAGTACGTACAATGGAGATAGATATTTTATTCTCTGTCCTTGTTGGAATATGTTGGCGTACGACAACAACGGTATGTCGTTTCGCCTTTTTATTAATCTGTATTCTATCTAAGTATTTGTTTGTCGGGCCCAAACTCCAAAGAGTCAGATTGGGCTGATTGTTATAGGTCGTTAGAATTTCATCCTGATGGCATCTAGATAGATAGATAGAGCCGATCTGCCAAATATGCTCCCCCTAGAGGGAAAGGTTTGTTATCTCCCACAAAGCATAATGTTAATTTGGTTGGCCGTAAACCGATGGCAGCAACATGTTCTGATTTTCGTATGCTTAAAAACAACGCCAAACCATCGCTGACAAACTCCGAGGCACGACGCCTGCGTCGTTTGTTTCTGTTGAGTGAACATGTGTATTTAACCTGCGCAGCATCAATAAGTCAGCTCAACGCGTTTGCATAATATTGTGCAAATACAATAGATTGCTGCTATTCGACGCTTTCTTTAGTTCATACACAATTAGCGTTTGAGCTATGCGTTTTGAAATCCATTTCTAATAAGTGTTAATTGAGTTAAAGTTGAGGCGGTTGCCGTAAAATCGGTTTTCGTGAAAAAAAAAAACTCCTGAACCATTTTCAGCGCAAAATAACAAACTACTAGGAAATATATGTAAATATTAAGAAGATATAAATATATGTTGTATGTAAATACTTAGGAAAAAAAAGTAGAAAAAAGAAATATAATAAATTTTTTAAACTCTGGTGACGTCTACAAACACAATCAGTATGCCAATTAGGACATGATAAAATATTTGAACCCTTATTCAATATAATATGCATAACTATCTAATGGAAAAATTACTAGAAGAAACTAAAAAGTTTGGTGACGTCGCAGGACAGAATGAATTGGTTCGTTGACTGAGCTAATCGCAGCCTGTGTTGAAAATCAGCTAAGGACTGCTCGATTCGCGAACGTCTTTGAGAGATCAGTTGGCTCTATTTATGTGCGTCTCGAAAATCGAGTCGACATGCCAACATAAAAAAGGCCCCCTAACCACATTGTACGAAAAATATGGCCAGGCCAGTATGGAACGAGCGAGACAAATATACAGTTGGCTTAGCCTTCCGACGAACATATTAAGATAGCCTGGTGAAATAATCGCTAAAGATTAACAAGTTAAATCAGACAGGGTAAATGTTAGTTGATCTTACGCATTACGTTAGATGTAAACTTTTCTTCTTATGGATAAACAAAATATGTAACTTTGCCCTACAGATGCTCTTATGACAAGCAAGCAGAAAGCGTATACTCCCTCTGTTCGCTCATCATATGATGCCACATCTCTGATCATTGGGGAGCTGTTTTAAGATTGATTGAATCTTGCTTGTACACCTCTTTTTGTTTTGTCCGTTGACCAATCGTCCTCATACATGCCCCAAGTATTCAGCTATATAATACACTGTTTTCCGTGTTTACGCTAGGTGCACAAGATTGAACATAATAACGACAAAACACCACAGACATGACTTCGTATATAACAATCATACCTTCTTTTGTAAAATTTGCCACTTTTGATCGCTCGAATGAATTAAGCCTTGGAGGACCACATACGTGCTAACGTATGCATACATGCGTAGCACCTGAAAAAAGCTCCTGAACAACTGGCGTTTTCGTTTGTACTGGTTTTAGGTAGATTCATATAGAAATGGCTATATCCTAGACGGGAAACGGCATAAGCTGGGATGCTCAATGCAGGTGTATATTTAAACTGCTCTCTTGTAGAAACCAAAGTCAAGCGTCGTGACAACGTCCATCGTGATTCACCAGTAGCGGCGGATCTTATTTACTATACGCCGTCGGTCGCTGCATCGCCGGTAACTACTAGGAGGCGTACGTAGGAAATTAGAAGCACCCAACGGAAGTTACTACGTAGCAGCGATATTCGTGAGCGCAGCCTTGGAGATCAGGTCGAAGACGACGAGGAGCAAGAATCCCAGCATCAAGAGGAGCTCGGTCTTTACCCTGCACGTGGCAGGGACGTCATGAACCTTTCATGGATGCAGAAACTGCTTCCACGTTCGTCGGATAACAACTCGACTCCTCAGGCATCACCTCAACACAAGTGTAACGCTAATCTATGTCCAAATACGCCAAGAAAACTCAACCAGTCACCTCATCATCGGCCTGTGCTTCGTAAGTGCTTACTTACCAATGTAATAGGCTTAGGTGACTACAGAATTAAAGATTCTGTAGTTAGTAGAAAATATGAATAGACTAATAGCTAATTTTATATTTGTATTACATATTAAATCGTTTATGAAGAGAGTAATAGAAACTGATTAATAGTAGTACGTCATTAAGAGTGATGCACTGAGAGAAATTATTTATAAGCATCTCCTCATATTTTACATAAAATGTTTGACTAAAATAGTGCATTTTGGCAGGACAATTAATGTGGTTTTCATTTTAATTTTTTGTGTTAGGACATAACAGTTAGACGTATGCCGTAAAAGTGATAATTTTCTTTTATAAGGGATGCATTGGACAATATATTTTGTGCCGCCTTAATGCAATTTGGTTAACCTGAGGTGTTCTATGGTTGATTTAGGTAAGTATAGAGAACGCCACTAAGCTTTGTGCTTAATCGGCATGATTTGATCATAGATAACTCGTCGATATTTTTGGAAAAAAGTATATCCATTGAAACGTCTTGACTTGGCTAATATTGAGACTTCCTGTAAGATGGACAATCCTATTCATATAGCTAACGTAGTTCCAGGACGCAAAAACCATATCAATGTCAGGTCACAACTGAGTGAGAAAGGAAACCTATTAAAACCTTCATGTTTCGCACTGCTGCTATCTGTCCTACGATCCTTAAGAAAACCTGAATACCGTAAAGTGGAAATTAAGAAAATGTATTCTTTAAGTAAAATTAAGCACGTTTTTTGTATTGATCAGATGAACGGTTGTTTTGCATTAACGAACCAATCTATTGCAGCGGATGGAAATGGTTGTGGCGAGAGTGTATCATGGGGTATGAGTACAGAAGAATTTCGAATAAAGGGCCGAGAAATGGTCGATTATATCGCCGAATATCTCGAGAACATTGGCCAAAGACGAGTGACTCCCAAGTGCGAACCTGGATACCTCAAAGGTAACGGACTGTTAGATTTATCTTCACGTTACTTATCTTTAGAAACACTGGCTCTTGAATTTAGGAAATCCAGCTTGTTTAGAGTACGTTGGATGCATTCGTTGATAATTCGTGACTATTATTATGTATCCAGTTTTTTAGAAAATTTTTATTGTCAGTCATATTCAAAATCAAAATGAAGCGGGTCCTTGTAATTCTTCACACTGTTTTGAAAATAAAAGAGGTCTCCAAAGAAAACACTATGTCTATAATTTCGTATTGCCATAATGACAGCTTGGATGAGGCACCGGACACAATATCACTAGTTAATTATTGACTCTGACAAAAACGTGTTACAGATTTGCTTCCGCGGAAGGCACCTTATAAACCGGAAAATTGGGATATAATCATGGCGGACTTCGAAAAGTACATCATGCCAGGAGTAAGTATGTGAGGCCGCGTACATGGTTGTTGCAAGAACTTTCACCTGATCTATAAACACGCATTTACAAGAACGTTAAAACTAGTGCTATATTCGGGTCACAGCAATTGATGCGATATTAATAAAGAACAATTATAAGGTTTTTAAAAAGGTACGGAAGTTTAAAATGCCGATTCTGTTGTATGTAACTGTCGAATAGGTGACGCACTGGCAGCATCCCCGATTCCATGCTTATTTTCCGGCAGGAAACAGTTATCCATCAATTCTTGCTGACATGGTCTCCGACGCTATCGGATGTGTTGGTTTCAGCTGGGTAAGTGCAGGATGTAAAAAGATCTTGAAAGTTCTTCCATTAGCTTTTTAGTGATAACATACACAGATAGATTTCTTTATTTTTTTTTCAATTTGCCTTTGCTAACGATGTTCATATATATATATATATATATATGTTTTTATATATATATATATGTATATATATATATATATATAAGTTAACAGCAAAGGATCCAAAAAAGCAAGAAAATGAGTTATTGAAACTAATCTAAGAGATTTGCTAGATGTTCTAAAGATGATACAAGGGGGATAAGGAGTTGCATGATCTCTATCAATTTCTCGCACATCTGGAGCACCTATGTGTATCGTTAGGCTCGTAGAAACCGGCTTTCCTGCAGAGTCTACGGTAGAACTCATGCACACTAATGCGAGTCATTATATGTTTGTTTAGTGTATTCGCCCCTTTCCACTCCTGGCTTTTCATCATAGATGAAGCTAAGAAGTCCCTATCAACTCCCGTGAATTTTTCTTCTACTTTAAAAAGTTCTTTTTGAAGGCTTCCGTTGCTAGGGGCTTTGAGCGATGGCGCGGGCTATTCGAAAAATAGTGGTGAGTCGGCTAGAAGATACGCTAGGCGAGACCGAGTCACTATGTTTAGTCCAATGCAGTCGCCGACTCACTTGCGGACGTTGTTTACTTTTCTGGCTATGCTGCATTAACCGAAACAAATAATAATAATAATATGGTGGAGAGACGTACGGGCTGTATGCCAAGTGAAGCAGTTTCCCCTCGGAAGGCCGTTAATGCTCGTTAGGTCTTCAAAGTAATATTCAGTACAGTGTTGTCAAGATACCAATTTCATAGTTCAGACGGATGAGTTAGTTTGAGCAACTGCCTCTTGTAGTTATTTTTTTTTGGGGTCTCAGAAGCTCAGTAGTATAACACCCCCTTCCCATCCTACCATATGCCGAGGCGCAGCCTCAAACCATGAATATTTCTTCGTGGTGTTAAGTTATAAGGATCTAGTAGTTTAGCTTCGCGCCTAGAAGGGTGGCCAAGATCAACTTCTCATCGTCAGTAACGACCAGTATGGAAATTACTTTATTTTTTCTTGCAAGAAACTAAAACTAAAAAACATTGTTGAACTTTTTTTTCCATTTTCACTAAGTTTTTGGGGGTTCACTTCCCCTCCTTTTCCCATCTTTTCGAGTGCATGCAAACGACTGATAACAGTCATTCGGGTTTCCCCCAGCTGCATAGAGAGCTCTCGGGTCAACTGTGCCGCATCCTGTTTAAGGGGTTCTTGCAGTTTATCGTCGTTTCGGTCCTATGATCGTCCGGAGTGTATCAAATTGAAATTTCCAGTTCCGAAGTGATTAAACCGAAGTTGGGAAGTGATAACATTTTCCGAACGTCTTGTTTCAACTTCGCAAACAATTATTTTTGTCTCCACTTTTCCAGCATGAGAATAGTGAAGAACAGAATGGCGGATATGCAGCACCTTTTCGAACTCTTCTTTTTTCGCTTTTCGAATTGAAGCACTGCTTACAAAGAGCTCAATGAAGATAGCAAAACAGTCAAAATAATTATCTTGAGAAGTTTAAGCTAGATACGATCGGCTCTAATGAGAACTTTATACTCGATCTTACAACTCTTATACAAAGTCGTATAAGGAAGTCTGATTTTTTTGCTTTGAGCTGTGATTAGACAGTTAAAGCATTGACTTAATTTAGATAATTTATTACTTTTTAAAACATTGTGAAGTATTTTGGGATAACTAGTGATTTGAAGAAAGTAGAAATTTAAATCAAGGTTAGCCATCTTAATAGTAAATTAATTCTGAAATTAAAACTATTAAAATCTTATTAGAGGAATTTGTGAAGAAAAAGATGAACAGCTATTCTACCTCAATTGGAAAATCAATTTGTATATTGATTTCTGAACTTTATTTATAAGTGTCATATAAAATAGGCTAAACCAAGAATTTCAAATAGTTTTATAAAAAGGATTTAAGGGTTAAATATTTAAATTACAAATAAGTAGTTCTGAAATGTGCACATATTGTCCGTCGCTTTTATCAAAATGAAAAGAGTCGTTACAAAGTAAAAATACTGGAAAGCGTTTTTGAATAAAGTGCTTATTTGAAATGATTATACACGTAGGATAAAAAATATATGATTTTTACCATTTTGATTATTTAAAGTAAGCTAAGTCTAAGCTATCAGGCCTATACGTCGAAAACGATTATTCCTTTAAAAGATTTATTTTATGCATAAAATCACCTAGAAGTACTGCATTTATTTCTTCTTCTTCTTCTATTGCTGGGTCATCTGAAAGTTGATTTTGATTGCTATATATATAATTTAATATACAAGTGAAAGTCCGGATGGAATTTTGGCAATTCTTATGTTTATTTCACCTCACTGTACAAAACAGATCTTATATTTCTTTAAAATATAATTATCAAGTCGATTGGGACTTGGCGCTTTCTGTCCTTATCGAAAATCCTATGCGGTTTTCCTGGGAAATTTCCTTCACGTTCCTTTTTTGCCTAATATCTGCCTCTCTAGATCAGGTGGATTCACTCAAAAACGAGATAGTCTCCATTTCTATTTTTCCTACACTGAATATCAAGTACTTTTCAAAAGCCTATCACCTTTTTCTTACCTTTCTAGTATAATGACATTTTATACAGGGACATACCACAGTTACCTCAACACGCCTTCTTTCAGTTGATCGGAGAAAGCATAAGTACCGGGCAGAACGCTTATCGTCCTCTTTCCCAACTTCAGGCTATCGAATACCAGCAGATGTAAACGTTCTGTTTAGCATGCATATTAATCTGCTCGCTGTCTAAATGTGATATCCAAATTCGTTTTCAGAGTAGATGGCACAGACTCATCCATGTGTCTCCGACCGCAATGGTATTCGTCGAGGATCGTTTGTTGGTCGAAACTTCTAGCATTATAGACAATATAGGGTTCTTATAAAGTCAGAAGCTTTTAGGTGCTAATGTCCTCGTTTGAGAGCTTAAGGGTTGCTCAAGAGCGGAGTCTAAGAAAAAGTGAAACGAAGAACTTTAGGCCCCACAGTTCTCGATCGGGTTTGTTCGGCGGTAAATGAACCGAAGGCGAGTGTCCGGTAGATTTGTGGAACGATATCTCTAAATATGAAGATAAATTTTTGTGTACGTTTCCTGAGTTACTAACTGTATGGGTTGGTCTAACTGTTCCATCATAAAATGACTTTAAAAATCCTGTTCTTTGTCGAATTAATGGACTATCGTTCTATGCGGACTTACTCGTAGACGCTGCTCCATCGTTCCCTGCCTGTAGTTGTATTGCTTCATACTGGCTTCATAGAGACCCTCCATTATTTTAGATGACCTGTATATAGTATGGATTTCTTGATTCGTTCCGCGTGTATTTGCTAGAAGAGGCGCTTGTTTGTTGTCGTGACTATCGACCTTCTTTAGGTAATTTAGCATGCTTTGATTGTGCTACATTTTTAACAGCTGGCAATTTTAATTGACTTCCTTTAGGCCGCCAGTCCGGCATGCACCGAGCTAGAGATTATCATGCTCGACTGGTTGGGTGAGTACTCCGCAGTCGATTACATGTTCAACTGTACTGGCTTATAGGTAAGGGTAGGCTTTCCTGTTATATATATATATATATATATAACAGGAAAAAGCCCAGAAAATTAATTTGAAAAAAAGAGAGCATGTACAGTACGTTTGCTTTCGCTTGGAAGCAAAAGAAAAAAATGTCATCATAAACGATATCATTTCCGATGTTTATGAATTGTCACTTGTTTGGTACGTGTGTGAAACACCACGCCAAACGCTGGTTGACTAACTTTGTATTTCACTAATAAAACCATTGTTGAGAAACAAATTTACGGCTCGTAAAATTCATTTAAGTGATCCTAATTTTGTTGGACATTTTTCTATACAATCAAGCGCGCCGTTATTAGGCGAAGAGACGCATTAAGATTTGAGCTGCAGAAGAATACCAGCCGCGCATTACATCTTCGTCTCGTTATTACTATATTATTAGAATTCACTGATTGATTATAAATCTCAGATTAGTGTTATATGTCAGCAACTGTTAGAATCAGACCACTGAAGTGCAGAAAACAAATGTAGCTATTGGTATTATAGTCACTTTGCTAAGCACACTTTGTACTTTACTGATTAACTTACGGTAGATACTGATAGTTTACTTCAAAGTTTATTCACTCGAATAGCAAAATCTTTTACGCATCCCTTCAGCACTTCAGATATCTTGCAGAATTGCCTCAAGCTTGTGTCATCGCGAAAGGATTAGCGATGCTGCTTTCACAAAACGATGGCTTTTATGTGCTTTTAAAATTACAATAGCCAGGTTTCACGGTAGTAACTATGTTTTAGACTGATTAGAACCTTATCTCCGCAATAATCACGCTAATCATAATTTTCAATTGGGTTTGGTTCACTGTCAAAAAGACACATCTACAAGATCACAATTCCCTTTAAAGCAGCTTCTTTCGACCCCTTTTCAGTGAACTAGTGACCGGTCATATAGCTTTAACTCGTCTGCGTATAGATTATGACTAAACGCCGTTGAAGCTTCCATCTACCCCTTCTCTCTCTCTCTCTCTCTCTCTCTCTCTCTCTATATATATATATATATATATATATATATATATATATATATATATATTTACACAAAATAGCATTATGTTTAGAAATTATTCTGGGTAATATTCGAGATACAATTCGTAGAACTAATTTCTTTTTTAAAACAGTAACCATGGGTTTATTGTTAATTATAGGAAAAATGATTGGTCTTCCAGAAGACTTTCTCTGTCTACATGGTGACAGCAAAGGTGGCGGCGTTATACAGGTATGTAGAAACATGTCCATCTTTTCATTTTCCACCCTATGCCAAGTAAATACCATCCGTAACTAAATAAGCAAACATTTTTACTGTTGATCAGCATTCACAGCGGAGGAGGGCACACAAGTCCAATACTCGTTACTGTATTGTATTCAGGTCAATATGTGACGGTTTGTGTGCAGGAAAAAATAAAAGTCAGAATCTGCACGTTCTACAGGGCTTTACAATTACGTATACATATCGTTTTAATTTTGATTAAATAATTTTCAGACGTCTGCGTCGGAATGCGTCCTGGTATCGTTGTTAGCGGCACGTTACGACTCAATTAAAAAAGCGAAACTTAAATATCCCACTCTGGATGATTACGCGATTTTGCCTAAATTAATGGCCTACTGTTCGACCGAGGTTAGTGTTCATTTTGACTGCTTATTCGTTCATGGTTAATCTAGCAGATTGGCTATCGTTCTTCCTATAGTAAATATTGGCTGAGCGGGGTTAAGTTAGGTTAGGTAAGTTCATTTGCGTGAGGACTGCCAATTGGGCCATATTAAGTTTTGTCAAGACACATAAGTCACTCATTAGAAATGGGTTCTGTCGTATGTTGTACAGTCCCATTCATGCGTCGAGAAAGCTGCCCGGATCGGCTTCGTAAAGCTCCGCATTTTAGATACAGACCTGAGCAATCGGCTGCGCGGGAACGTTCTTGCAAGAGCCATCAAAGAGGACAAAGCGGCAGGATTAATACCCTTTTTCGTAAGTTATTATATTCAATTGAAGATTCGAGTGTGTTACTAGAGTCGCATGCATTAGTTCCACAGATCTGCTAGTGAAAATAAATCCTTTTTTTAATTAAGTAAACATTTGTCGAACTATTAATCATATGTAGGGCAGCGTCGGAATAATTTGATAGACATTTTTTTCGCATATATAGATATATATCGCACGTTATAACTGAACATATAGAGGTTTAGTATAACGGGTATGGATGTTACCAATCAGGTATCGGCAACGCTCGGTTCAACATCATGTTGTGCGTTTGATCCTCTTGATGAGATTGGGCCAATTTGTAAGCAGGAGGATATATGGTTGCACGTCGATGCGGCTTTCGCTGGTTCAGCTTTCATATGCCCCGAGTTCCAGCACCTCACCGATGGTCTTGAGCACGCGATGTCCTTCAATACTAATCCGAACAAGTGGATGCTGGTCAACTTCGATTGTTCAACTATGTGGTATGTATAATGTAGGGATGGATATATTATCAACTCGGTGTAGGTCGTATTGTCTACTTCCAATAAAGCTTTCTTAAACTACCTTAAAAGCAAAAGAAAATTGACGATACTAAGCTCGTATGCTTGAGTCAGTCAAAAACAAAATTCAAATCTGGGTTACGACTCAGGGAAGCAACGTATTGCGTCCGGAGTAAAGGGGCGTGTTGGGATTGTCATTATTTTCGAAATATCTGCTTTGCTATAGACAGGCCAAAACCCGTAGGTTAATGCAGCTATGGTGCAGGCTACAAAAAGCTAGATCTAGACTAATTACAAATATGTTAGCGTTTTATCTATGCATTTCGATGGCCGACTCCCAGAATAAACCGTAGTATGTTTACGCCAGACAGCCAGGTATCTTCACGTTCAGTAGGCCACGGGTACGCTTGCCTCATAACAAACAAATTTTGTTATTGATGCAGTTAAGAAATGTCGCTAACTCTGCCAATACATTTAATGATTATTCGCTTTTCAGGGTGAAGGATCGATTTAAACTAACGGAAGCATTGGTTGTGGACCCTCTATACCTTCAGCATAGCTATTCCGACAAAGCCATCGACTACAGAGTAATATACCTTGCTTACCTATAGTTAAAAAAAAATATATAGCTATAGTAGCCCGTCTGGATATGTGGATCTCGCGGTTGATTCTAGCAAATATAGATCGTTCTGTGTAGTAAGCTTTGTATTTGAGATTAGGCTGTGTCGTAACTGGGCGCATTACTTCAAAAACATCTCTGTTTTTATGGACTCCAAAAACGTACACTTCAATATTTCACATAGGAATGATATGACATTTTGTTCATGGACAAGTACAGCATCCAGGTAGCAATAGATCATATAATGGCACGATTGTTGTGCATTTATTTGTTTGTATGTATGTTGGCATTGAATCGAGGGCTGATGTGACGTTTTTTTTACACCTTAAAAAAGAGTCATAGTAACTATGACAGACTTTTTTACCGTCAGCATTGGGGCATTCCTCTGAGTCGTCGATTTCGCTCGCTGAAGCTATGGTTTGTCATCCGTCGCTACGGTGTCGAGGGACTACAGCGCTACATCCGTGACCACGTACGGCTTGCAAAAAAATTTGAGTGCCTCGTTAGGCACGACGAGCGTTTCGAAGTCGTCAACGAGGTTATCTTATCGCTCGTATGCTTTAGACTCAAGGTAAAAGGTCTCCGTACTTTTTAGAATCAGGCGTAAGCTTTAACGTAACGTCGCAACGTAATTTGAGTCCGCTTTTAGTGTCCTCCTAAGCTCCAAGCCACGTAATTGGATAGCACAACAATTCACCATTTACTAGCAAAAGCCTGTGATCTGATTTGATTCAGCAACAAGTTGGTATCAGCGCTTCCCTTCTAGATGTTTGTCTTCTCAAAAATATATATGCACTTGTATAGTTTTTTTAAATTATACAACTAGTATCAACGTAGGCTACTAATACCCTGTTGGAATTTCAGGGCAGTAATGCGCTGAACAAGAAGCTTCTAACAATGATCAATGCCAGCGGCCGCCTGCACATGGTGCCCGCGTCACTGCATAACCGCTTCGTGATTCGGTTTTGCGTATGTGCCCAGAATGCAACTGATGAGGACGTGGCGCACGCCTGGGACGTCATCTCGCAAACGACCACCGAACTACTCGAGGTAGATCACTTTCAAGGTGGTGGCCTGTGTGAGGCTTCAACGGTTATTGTTTCCAAAAAGTTGGCTATATCAACGTATTGCAACAACAGCGTACCCGACCGATTTTTCGTGTTTAGATCAATCGTCGCGAGTAACGAACGAACTTCGCTGTCATCTTCTTCTTCAGTTAGGGTTTAACGCAGTGGCGATATCTCTATGTCGGCTTGAAATACGTATTCTGCAGCTATACACTACTTGTCAATGTAACTGTTTGGGTATTTGGTGATGTGAGCCGTTTGTGTATTTTGTTTGTGTATTATTTGTGAATTTCTTGGCGGCCGGCTTCTTTCAGGAAACGGAGTATGAGACTGCCGAACCGGACGAAGTCTTCATTCTCGACAAGAAACGCCATTCGTTGCGGTACAAAAGATCATTCTTTGTGCGAATGGTTTCTGATCCGAAGCTATACAACCCAAAAATCGTACGCGCGCTCTCCGATAACGAGAGCGTTAACAAGGGTGATGCCGTCGACGGAGCTGCCAAGAAAATGTCGTGTTCAGCTGAGAAGCTGCAAAATATTTCCTGCACTCAACAAAACGTCGGCTAGACAATGCTTTATGCCAATGCCACCAAATGACACTTGCAACATTAATGAAAACAAATAAATGTATCTTGTTCTGGCGACGACGGTTCGATGAAGCCAAGCCTGTATAGTAAACACTTCGTTTGTCTCGTGAACCTATCCGGCAAAGTGGAGGGTCAAAGTTAAAGGTCCAAAGCACACTGTTGGCGCTACGCTTCGTTGGTCATTATTTGGGGCTATCGATGTCCGCCCCATGCAGTACCGTTGTAAAATGGGTCTTTGGATTTAGTTTCTAGAGCCCATATAATACTGAGGTGAATGTGGGACAGAGCGCAGAGCTTGCAGTGTGTGTTACTTTGGTTCAATACACGATTGGGCTAAAGTTCGGCCCATTAACGTAGTCCATATCTTGGACCGGGCTCAATTGAGTTAACCAAAAATCCTATTTGCTGTGTGATAAATAACACAAACATCGACTATGACAAATAATATCAACATTTATTTCTCGCTCGCGATTGATATAATAACGTTCAAGGTGGGTTTAAAATGACACACAAACTAACCAGCCGTATCTATCGATAGTTTATTTGAACGAGCTGTATAATACTACGAAGACTTCCCAATTCCATACTTACTGGATAAGGAACACGAATTGCAAACTTCGATAGGACAAGGTGAAGTCTCAGGAAATGAGCGGTCCTCTAGCGATTACGTTGCATGCAACGACCTTCTTGCCTAGTGAATAGATGTTTTTGTTATGACTTGTGGAAACAGTCAGCCAGCCAGCCCACGATTGACGATGCTTACAATTTTACCAGTAAAGTAGCTATGGCGATCGTTTTTGACGAGGTAAACCTTCGCAAAATCCCGCTAGCAAAAGTCGTAACGCGTAATATAATAGACGTTAAATGCTAAGCACTGAGTAAATTCTCTCCCGTATGGATGACGCACGCCAACATACAGCGCACCCATAAAAACCTAAAATAATGCACATTATTCAGCTATGCTAATTAAAGTGACGGAAAACAGAGTTTGCGACTATTTACTCCCAAAATGACAATAGCTACGAGGAAAATAAAGTAAAATTGGGAAACTAGATATAAGAAACAGCTGTGATATGCCTGGACTGGAAACTGTAGTGGAAAAACTCAATAATATCAACTAATTTATAATAGTTCCAGTACAAAAAAGCGTTTCGGCGAAAGTATCCTTGTCTTTCATTATTGCGGACGCCATATACCAGGTGGATCAAAAGTCTCCGAAGTGTCTCGTCCGTGTATCGTATACTTGAATTCGCCTTTCGCTGCAGCAATCTCCCTATTTTCTGCTTCTTTCAAATAGATAAAGTATTATAGAGTTCGCAACTGCTCAGAAACTTCTTGGGCCACCCAGTATATTAGCTACATGTGGGTTTCACAAAAAGTGACGAAATCGCTTCATGGAACGAACGGAACTTCGCTTTTTTTTTTCGACGCCCATATAGGCTATGATGTACGCTTCTTTATCGAGAGGGTTCAAGTAATCAGCTTAGAAATCGATCCTATTTGCGTGACTGTTTTACATTTCTACTAAATTTCTGACTTTCTTCTTCGGTTTTGGGTGCTCCTTACTAACCCAGCAAAAAATTAGCGAAACAAATATAAAGCCAGATATTTTTCCAAAGATTTTCTTGGTTTGATCGAAAGCTTGTGTCATTTTTTAGTTCTGCATTAAAGTTATGCGCATAGGATTACAGTTTTAACTGCTAACTGAAAGCAGTAAACACAAGGAAGTCAGAAGTTACTGCTTACTTAGCAATGAACAAGCTTCTCATCTAAATAATAAACGACATATGACTAAATAAAACATATTAAAAATTGGCTGTTGTTTGAATGTTATGTGAAACGTTACGGAAATAAGAAGACATCTCTATGAAATACTGACTTTTCATTCCTCTGAATTGCAAGGTATGATCTGCAAGATTAATAAACCTCAAATCCCCAACAGAGGCAAAAAAATCACATAAAAAGAGGACACTACAGTCAGACAAAGTGCAGACACCCGGTCTTACCGGAGCAGTAGCTTGAATTTCTGATAGCTTATAGCTTGGTAGGTCGCCGAGCTCCCACGCATTGCCCAGGCTCGTATTTCCTTTTGATGCGTCGGCGAGAAGCTGTCACAGGGGGAAAAATGGAATCAACATATAGCAAAATCACACTGAGAAGATTGTCTTGGCTAGTACGCGTTTCTGTGGGCTTTAAATAAACTTTGATGGGGTCACCATGATGAACACCTAAATAAGGTTGTTAATGTCAAACTTCAAACTAACAGTTTAATATATAAATCTCTCTCTCTCTCTCTCTCTCTCTCTCTCTCTCTCTCTATGCAGCCCTCACTATTGAATCTACTTGAAAACATAACACCTTGTGGACTGTATAACAGTAACTCCCATATACTCTCTGGATAAACCATTTTATATAGCGGAATTATTATCTTTAAATGATTTTCTCCGGCTTCGTATGTTGGATCGCTGTCAACTGCTACTGAAAGCATTTATTCTCTAGTAGGTAACCATTACGAAATCCAAACAATTCGTATAGCAAAAATAGCTGACATGCAACTTATAAGTAAGTTTAGTTTAATGTTTGAGCTTCGTTACCAGGCCGAGGTTGGATCACCTCTGAATTTTACTCACTATCGGCGAAAGAGCCTGTTGGCATTGTTTGGTTCGAATTATAGATCTTTAAATTGAAATATAACGTCAAACGCAAGTACGGATAGGATTCGTCCGACTTTGTTCGTCAAAAAATCTCAGAAAACCCCACAATTTTAATAAGGTAATTTTTATCTATATGATTGCGAAATAAAGGAGAAGTGTTTACCTATACATAATGAATATAACCATTCTACTAGTGGTCATAGAAGGTTGACACAAAGGTTCTCACAGACATAGCTTTCTAAGAAACAGGGTGGAAATCAGGGAAAATGGAAAGGAACGTGGCAAGCTTAACAGCCACAAGTCGAAAAACAAGGCTGTTATACAAACACATATATATACACATAGATTATTGAAGGCCATACAGATCGATAAAAAACTAGCACAGGAAAATTGTCCAATAAGTAATAACTTAGAAAATCTACTCTCCAGAAAACTGGGTTAGTTTTGTCGCCATTTTCGGCTAATGTTTCCGTCTGGACAGCCCATTGAAATTATGTTGTTCGTATAGCATTAACGACCATAAGGAAAAATTTGTTGTCAGCCATTTGTGGCCGAATTTTCCAGAGTCACCACCGGCAAATTTAGACCTTACAGGATTGCTACAATGTGTTCGAATGGCGTTGTTGAAAGTGACTGAGACTAGCAGATTTGTCTGTCAAGTGAACCTGTTTTCTAATAATGCTTATAAACATATAATGCCTAGATGGGTAAAGATCTGTCTCAGCACAAGGCGATCCGTGTTTTTGATAGATGCCTTCTAAAGCAAAACATAAAATAAAGACAGAGTGTTACACACTCGAGCCGACCAGGAGACCTTAAAAAGAATCCGAGAACCAAACCGTCTTGACGGAGAACAATTCGAACAACTATCGAAAAGCTCACAATACAGATAAAACATTAAATAGGAGAACGTTTTCCGCTTCTATTACGAATACACTGAGTAAGTAGGCGCTTGTATTGTTCAGTAATTTTTTGCTTTTACATTATGCTAAATAACTGGACAAGTAAAAAAATATACTTTAGCTTGATAGAAAGCGATGTATTGAAGAGGAAACTGACTTTAGGATACTGTAAATTGGATATTGGTTGCTATAAAGGTCAGTGCGGCAGCTGCAAATAAACGTTTGATTCTGGTTCAACACGTGCATAGACCATTCGTTTAATTACACATGTGATTTTTAACATCTGAAACGATTGGTCAGAAGCTATTTAATCTAGTTTATGGCTGTGTATTGTAAGAAGTTTGAAAAAATTTGAAGACTAAATCAAATCTCTTCTTTCGTTATTCCAAAGTTTAATCGTTTATTCCAATGATCAGTCCTAATCATTGTACTACTGGTAAGTTTTTAGGGTACTTGATAGAACGATACAACCAGAATTGGAAAAGACCAAGAGCTTACTGTTTATCATAGATTCATAACATTTTTATTATAGGTTAATAATAAAATGAATTGGGTAACGTTTTTATTCACACGAAAAGGCCATCTGGCAAAGGAAAATTACATTACGGAGAATATCAGGGTTGCTGGAAATCGCACGGATTCACGCTTAGCATTTCTGGCCAGCCAACGTCGAGTGATCGTTAGTGAAATGGGCATTTCTGGGAATTACGGCAAACCGTCTGGAAGAACAAGACCACGCCTGACTTTATCTTAAATGGAATTACGAGACAGACGGCGAACCAGAGCTAATTTTTACTTCATACTGTCTCGCTGTGCCTTTCTCACTCTCTCTCTCTCTCTCTCTCCCTCTTACGTTGGTTTCGTTGTTTATTATAAATTGTCAAAAATAAAAAATATTTTTTTTTTTAATTATATATTGTGTCTTTAAATTTTCATATCCCTTAAATTCGACCGAAAATCAATCGATCGATCAGTCTTCGTCGATTACAAAAGCAAATTTCGTTATTTTAGAGGTTTATGTGATTTTTTACGTTATTATCCATATTCTTCAAGGTATATAAACACTGAATAGCTCATCATGATCATTTGTTGATTTTCACACCGGTGACATTGTTGTGAGACAAGCTTTGCTCCTGCAGAAAACAGCTGAAAAGTTAATTTCGAAAAGCACATTATGTTCAGAGTGATTAAAATTCCCTAACTTTGAAGTTTTCCAGTTTCGACTTCGGTGCGTCTAGATTCGAAGTATTGCTGTGAAAAAAAAGTCTCGTCCCAGATGACGCTTGCATTCGCAGTACAGTTATTAAGTATCCTATAGGAAAGCGAGGAATGCTCTTTTCAATCGAGTTTTTCCTCGTTGGATGAAATCTATTGATATAACCAAGTAAAAGTTCTGCTTGTATCATTCGAGTCTCTATTTTTTTCACCATTCGATCAAACCAGTTTTACCCAATCGGATCCTGCTTGTGCAAAAGTAGGCACTGCTTAATCCATTTTTGTAGACCAATTGCTCTACTTGTACAATTTAGAGGATCGCATAAACGGCGAGTTCTGGGAAGGCCATTGGGTATTTGCTTTCGTGTTTACAGCGCTATCTGACAGCTATGTGATGCTCGATTCCTTACTTCACGGCGGTAAACGCTGTCGATTCTTACAAGCTTCATGTCTTACTTTTCAAAACGGCCGGTTTCAGTTGAGCTGGGCAAGTGCACAGCGGAGGAGCACAAGGACTAATTCTTTAGAATGAATTATTTATTTGAAATAATAGACTAAGTGAATGAATCACTCTGTGTTATCCGTATACTGTTTTTACGTTACGTTATGTAAATACGTTTTTAGTATTACGAGGCCAGTTTTCGAGTTCTTGGAATCAAAGAGATCAAGTACAGGGTGCGCTTGACCAGTCATGTTATCAGATCTTTTCTGTTTGCTAGCGTTGTGCAATCGACTTGACTGGGTCATACTTAGGTATACTTTAAGTGCACTCTCGTCGCTCTCGACAGCAGCCCAGTGAGATCATAATGTAGTTAAGACGTATGATATTACTAGCCTAAAAAATAATTTTCACTGCGTCAGTTTTTTTGTCATGAGAAAAACAATTAAAACTGTCCACTCTGTGGAGTTTTTACTATTCATATTTTTCAAGAATAATAAAAACCATGTTCTCAAAGACTCATTTTGGCACCAGCCTATATGCACATTAAAGGATATAAGTAATATAGCTAAAGGTACCGAGCCAAGATCTTCGTATTATTTATTTTGAGATACTAAATTTATCTCGAACTGCCTTTTTGTCAATTGAGAAAGCTGATCTTCAAAATGCACTTTTCAAAAACAGCGGTGCCCTTCATAACCTTTGATCCCTTCGAAATTTTCGATACTCTTCTCCACGAATAGCACAGGCATTTAAATGTACCTCTATCATAGTTAGTGTCGTGTTTTTGTATGGTCTGTAATTACCAATGTTCTAATTCGCTCAATTTGACACACACCCGATATAGACAAAGCATCAACCGTTTAATATTTACCTATCAATCAATGCTAAAATGTACGCATTTGCGGCGTTTGTATCTGATGATTTATATCGATAGCTTTACCTGTCTATATCAGTGATTTATTGAGAAGTTGACAATTATACCTGCTTCGAAATAATGGCCTGGGCTGCCCCTTTTGCCAGCTCGTATTCTCTAAACGAGCGTTCGTATCTTTGTTTTTAGTTTCTTTTTTGTACTATTATCGTGAACTGCGTGCTACACGGCCATTTCGTTGGGGCCGACAATTTCAGGGCACAAATGCCGTCGGCATTGGACAACAGTGAACTAGAGTAAATGATACGTAAAGAGAAATAGAATTTTCTCATCACTAGATAGTGAAATGATCACTCAGACTCTAGACGCTTACGGGGTCTGCAATGATTTTCTATATGTTAAAATAATAAGATTACGTGCGAGTATCTTGTCAAGCTAACCGTGCCCAAAGTGCAGTCATGAATTAGTAAGCTTTGCCTTAATACTGCTGTATTCACAAAGAGAGAACTACTGTAAAAATTGTGATAATCTAATAAAAGTGACGGTTATAATTATCAATGCAGCAAATGCAGTGATATCACTGACACGTCCATGGTTATTCTGATTATTATTATAACAAAAATAAGGTAGAAAAACTCATTGACCGGTCACTTAGTCCTCACGGTATGTAGAGGATTTTCTAGCGATAAGCCATAATTTTCGAACGTCATCGAGCGAACACTTCAGTCGTGCCTCTGTGGGCCCTCACTAACTAGACAGAATTCACGAATCGAGATTACTGGCTGCTCAACACAGGCAACTGGCATATACAGGAAGAGCCATCAAGTTTTACTGGACGTCACGTATCGTTCATATTAACACCTAAAGACGCCACTTGTGTTTCTGTTCTCATCAGGCCTGTCGTTATCTGCGCAATATTTCTATTGCCATTCGACCGTTTTTTTTTTTCAGGATTAGTCATTTATTTGTATCCATATGATGCGCAGAAACAAAATACCAAACGCCAAAGTTCTATGATTCCTATGGCCCTACCGCCGAACAGGCATAGATCATCATCTTTCTGTGCAACTGTGTACAGTTTGAGATATTATTTAGTTAGATATTGATTACTTCTACAAGGATGAGGTGCAATTGTATCTATTATGGTAGATAGATGTAAGTACAGGGTTTGTGGTGACTCGAGTGTAGAATACTGATTGCGCTTTACCTCTTACTTCATATAATAATTTGCTAAAATTAACGTAGAATAATTGTATCAAGGGAAGTTATCGATATGTAATTTTGTATGTATTGTGTGACTAGGACATGTAGTATTCTATTCTGGTCTGCCGATATTTCCCACTAGCTATTGGGTTTCCTGGCTTGGACCTACCTTGATTTTGACAACTGTGTAGCGTCGTAGGACCATCATTATTAGACTTTATCTATCGCGATGCATTTTGTCGGTATAAAACATCTCTTTATAGGGATTTTTTTCTAGACGACCTTTGTCTAGCATTAATATCGTGCTGATTGTTTTCCAAGCTCCTGAATTAAACTTGGATGTGTCGTAAGGAAAAATGCAGTAGAAAAGAGATTTTTCTACTGCATTTTTCCTTTCAACAGAGGGGCTGAGCATCAGTGATGGCTTGGCTGAAGCGATTAGCAATACCTTGTTTAAGCTTAAGAGTGATTCAAGATTGATGAACATTTATTATAGTAGGTAAATGACAACTAGAAAGGAAGCGAAGGGACCATCCTATAATATCGGTAGCAATGACATTTATGGGTTGTAATATGGATAATATACTATCGTTTTTCAACTGCGCTTATTTTCGTATGCCGTACCTTTCTTTCTGTTTGGCTGATACGCTTAGAAATAAACTTTGTAAGCTTTACGTCTGACACCGGCGACGGCTGGCCCTTAGCATCAACAAAAGCGTGCTGCACACGAATTTTTCGATATACCTGCCTGTGTGTTTTCACCGTTAGAATATGTATGCTGCATGATGTGTCTTATACGGCATTTCTATATTTCAACCTTTTCAATTAAAAGGGGAGTGAAGCTTTCAATACCACGAATAGCTAAAAAGAAATAGACCAATGAAGTTCGTCGCTCGCAGTCTCAAACAAATATTTCACGTGACATACCAAAAATGGTTTTTTGACTATTATTAAATAAAGGTAATCTACAGTGTAAGTACAATGAGCGCAGGTATATGATAGACACGTCTATAACAGTGACCGTTGCTTGTCCGGTGATTTAGTATTCAATCCATAATGCTAAGCTTGTTACGAGGACACACAATTTGCGGTTAAAAAGTATGGAAACGAGATAGGGTAGTCGTAGCTTGATTAATCATTAATTTTTTTTTATTTTATTGGCTTGACACGACGTTTTTGTTTTTTGCTAACTTTATTTCTCTTTGTTTCTTTTTTTCTATGTCGTATTCAAGAGTACGGTCTTTCTTCTATGCTGTGCAATGGATAGTGTTTCGCTTGGACACCAGATCCAAACATTGTAATTTCTGTAAGCAAAAGGTAGTGTTTATGGCATCCATAGCAAATTTCAGTGCCTTATAAGATATAAGACATTAGTAAGGTAAAAACTACGAGAATGTATAGCGGCTACTAAAATAGCTTACAAGTTAAGAAAATGTAAAATTCAATATGAGAAGGAGGTCAGAAACGAGGAAAAAACAAAACAAACAATTAACGAATACTGAATAGAGGATATTAATATAAACGTTTCGACTTTTACATCGGGCACTGCAGTTAAGTATTGCTTCAGAAGGAAATAGAAAATATCTATCTAGAAAAGACGAGAAGTAAAAATTGCGCTTGTCACGCCGTAGGAAAATGGTAAGTAGGATATGTAAGCAACGCTTGTCCTTACGCATAAGTATCTTGTCACGGCGATGATACCTAAAGTAATTAGCAGGCTCAGCTTACACAATTGAACGCAAATCCAGCTCGTCACTTCGGCCATTTCAACTTATATCAGACGCAATATATTAAAGGTATAGCCATTTGAGAATCGTGTAACCGCATGGAGGAACACACAACCTAAACGCGAGATTCCTTGCTGATATCGACTGGCAAAACGGGACATAATTGGCATATTTGGTAAGATGGAGAAAGGAACAAATAACTCTAAGAGACATATCTAAGTCCAGAACTAGGCCAAGTGTCTCTTTGAAAGGGAGCATGACTTGCCCTTGGTGCAATTGGAAGGGCCTTATACACTAAAAAATGTTTGAACAGAATGGGACGGTCAACCTGTATTTCTTACAACAGAGTTACCCAACAGAAAAGGCCCCATAGACGAGCTTGTCCTTTTGCATAATAGTATCCGACCACACATTTACAAGAAGTTGTGTAAGGCAACGATTGCACAAGCCGCCCTGAGAGAGCCTGAGCTTGAGATTCCTTTACGGCCATTATATCATCAAGGCCTCACTCTGGCAGATTATCATTTATTCTGATCACTGGTGAATGTAACTTTTGGCCGTACATTTAAAAGTGATGAAAGCATGGCCGGGTAGGTTCTTCAACACCAGACTCTAAAGTATTCCTGATGAGAAAAAATGAATAAATAAGCTGAGAGATAGACAATGGCTACAAGCACCTGCGAAACTGATTTGTGGCTGAGATTCGAATGAGACGCTGTTGTCTTTCTTAGGGGGGAAAAAGGCCTCTTCCAACCTACTACATATGGACACACATACCCTAAGTTAGACACATTCAAGAGTCACTAATTGGATAATCGTAATGAAATGAATACCTGATGCTCGACACAGCTGTATAAATCTAACGTTAATGATTTCCGTCTTTCCTACGTTGGCAGATTTACAGGGAGCTACACCAACCAAGTGGCCCACATTGAAAACTGTCACCTTGATGTGTTTGTATCGACCATGCGTATCATCGAATGGTATTCAATAGCAGTCCAGTTTTTCTTGCTGTGCATGATGGCCGACCCTGCTAGACGGCCACCGAAGAAACCGAAAGGACCCAAGGCAATCAATTGGAACTCATCGTACTATCAGACAAGCTTCGATCCATGTAAGCCGTTGCGCGAATTCAATCCTGTCGAATTGGTGAAGGCTCGAAAATACGCCACCGAAATATTCGCCAGGTGTGGCTCGAAATTGGTCGTCTACTTCGCTACTAAATACGACTTCCCCGCATTCGGTGAACACCCCTCCAAAGTTTTACTCTATCATAATACAAGTGGTTATGGATAGTACGGTTTATTGTACGGTGTGATATATGTTTTTATCATTTTTTCCGGCCATGTATACTAATTAGTTATTATGTTTCAGGTCTTGTTAATTTAGCAAGACACGCATGCGTATTGCTAAACATGGGTTACGCATTTTATTCGCCGTTTGATAACAGCCTAGTGGCATCACCAAACACAACAACGGATGAGGCTGTTGTTCTTCTGAAAAAATTTATAAACGGCTTTATGAATCAGAATTACTCGTTTGTCATACGACATCGCCAGCAAAAGTACACGGTATTACCGTATATGCTATTGCATTTCTACGAATGCGGCCTTCGTTGTGTTTTCAATACGAAAAAGTTATTTCCACTCGATGGAGACCTCATCAAGCTCGTAGTAAGTTACTATAAGTTTATTCTTCTGTAAATTCGACCTAAACGTCAGAAGGTTGAAAATACGGCACCGCTTAGCTAGGGTCACGAGTGATTTTCTCAAACGGATTGTGTTATAGTGATGCTATCCATGTAGGTCTAATTTTAGCTTGCTTCTGTATTATCGGTTGCGTTAACGAGAGCTTAGACGCCATGCCGAAAATATCGAAATTAACATCTATGAATCGAATTTAGTGCTACCATTTGTCTGACTTTCCAGCGTCTGTACCAATACCTCTTGTGATCTCTAATAAACTGTGACTGAATGCACGGATTTGTTAAAGGAGTGTTTCTTTTTTCTTTATGAGAAACGCTACATTTACCATATGAGGGCAAGTTGCTCAATCCTGAATATCTATAGGGCTTCGTACCAAAACGCTGGGTACTATTGACCGGACCAGGATATGCGACTAAACAATAGCGGTACGAAGTTGGTCACTTGGGCTTCACTGGACTGATGCACTAAGAGTCAGCGAATAAATCCTTCTATACTTTATGTCTACCTCTTGTTTTTATTGTCGTTCATTTGCTATTTTTTCCCCTTGTTTTCCGTCTCTATCTGGTCGCTTTTCTGCCATCGGTTTCTATCCTCCTTTACTCGGACTTTTTAGATGTTAAAAAATATAATTCTTCAGATACAATGCACACATAAGAAAACGCTAGATGAGCGTTCACCGTACATAGGAAAGTCATATCTGTTGTAAAGTAGGTAATCGCTTTAACCCACACCTACTCGACACTTGTCTCGCGTACCTACGAGCGTTCAATAATTCGACGGATTTCGATTTGCCTAACGGTTCATGTGGGTTAGAATTTTGTCCCGTAATACGGAGAATCCCAGTGGATCGATTTGGGTGTTCTGTGCTTAATAGCTAGCTACTTAGCGGAATCAAAGAACGTATGCACGACTATTCGTAGAGAACGTACATAATCGATATCAATACACAGGGTTGTTTTTGTAGGCCCATCTATTTCACTGTTAGTTACATAAACGTGCTCGAAGCGCGTTTGCAATACGGAACAATGTCGTTTGGCCATTTGAATTACACGTGTTGGGTACATTTTGATGTACGCACGGATCATCAGCGTTTTTTCGTGCATTGGCTTTTCAAGGTTAATGGAGACTGCTTTAGCGAAATGACAACTGACGTTAGTTAGATAAAGATCACTCTCGTTAACTTTGTGCAGCTGTTTAGCGCTGCAAGCAATAACACTGAAGAATAAACTGGAAGAGTGTGGAAGTCTCACGTCGGCCATGGTAGGCATAGAAAAGGGAGCATACATTTAATCGTGTACAGAATTACAATTCGTCTCGAGAGGAGTATTCTGGTGGCATGCAATTTTTTCCGTGTGATTCGGCGCATTTTTGATCGGCATAATACGAAGTCACTAAGGCGTTGATGGCCTTCCTCACATCGCGTTCAGGAACGGTTATCTTTTACCTTCAATGAATTGAGGATTGACAATTTCGACAGATGCTAGGACCTGTCCGAGTGACCGATTTGGGTGTTCTTGAATCATGTTTTCAAGTTACGTTTTAAGTCATTTTGTGTTACGTTTCTTGTGAAAGTTATTAGTTCGGCTGCGCTGTGGGACAGTGCACGACCTGATAATATCTCGGAGTGTTCGTAATGTGACTTCGGGGCATCGTTAGTGACGGTTGTATATCGATTACGAAAATCACTCAGACCATTCGGACTATGCGTCGACAGTACTCCAAAACACTTTCGTATCTAGGGTACTAGCAAGATAAAAGTTTTAAAATGTCATGCAGCCATAAACTATTCTTTGAATAGATGTTTTTGTTGGTTTTTTAGATTGGTTAGTACAGCTAGAACACTATCGGGCTATGTTCTTCATGCCATTATCGATCCAGCCCTACATATATTAGCCATAGATACCACAGATTCAATGACGAGGTCTAGTTTCTCTTTTGCTGCTATTACGAAATACGAAAATGGCAATTGATGCTCAAAATCTATAACTATCCTCGATAGGGTCACGCGGATCCTACCAACAGTTCAGTAATAACGGCAACGAGGGAGGAACCTTGTGACAAATGTCCTGGTGTTCGAAAATTAACATGCCACCAAAAAGGTTCCTCGTTAGCACAGAGGAGAAGATACGATGTGAGCTTTAAAAATTGAACGAGATGTTCCTCGAACACTACAGTTTACATATACTACTAAAAATTCGAGCCCAAGTGAGTCGCGGTGGCGCGATAAGTTATTTAAAGATACTTTTTACCTTAATCGGTCGTTAAGCTGTAGAAAGGACATGTTGTTCAAGATGACGTGTTCGAACGGTTTCAGCATAAAGGTACGCCGGTGAAATTATCCGCCCTCGTTTAATGGCACGGATTTCCTAATGAAGGACTCAAATGCCTTATGTAGGCTTGTAGTCTGATAAAATTTGAATACCATCTAGAGGTACCAAACAACAACAATACCAACAGTAGATATTTTCGTCGGAATCCGCGAAGATCGAACATGCCCAAACACACGATTCGACCAATTTACTACGGGAGCCCTGAAGGGCCTGTTATTGCAGCGGTCGACTTCATTAATAAAAATCTAAATACTAAAACTAGACGTAGACAATAACGATAAAGCTTCTAGTAGAATGTATAAAACCGTAAAGATATAGCATAAGGAATACAGTTAAGACAAAATATTAGACCTGATCTTATTGTGAGATACATTGGATAAACTAGTAAGGTTCCCACTGATCCTTTGTAACCATTCACCAAGTGCAACTCATACGCAGAAACCTTGTTGCTTGAGCTACGTAACAACCACTACCGAGATAACTGCTGTGTCGTTGACCACAATATATTACTTTGTACGATGTAAAAAGCTATGGTCAAGAGTACCCCGAGACACAGTTGAGAAGTTGAGAATGGTATTACCCTTAGAAAACTAAGAAAGAACTTGATAAATAACTTAAGGCAGACATATTCGCAAACTTTTGGCCAAACGCACTAAAGTAAAAATTTACTTTCGAATGAAATCCAGAGCAAGAAAAATATTAGCTTCAACCGAGTTTCGTACTACATTCTATCTAAAATAGCAAAACAAAAGGAACAATTATGTAAAATTCACGTTTGTCACACAGTCGCTCGCGCGCTACTTCAGATGCTGTTACAGTGGGGTAGTCAACAGTGACATTGGGTTAGGCGTAGGTTTTTTTCACCGGTCCCAAGAAGACCATCATTATTTACTACCAAAGCCAGATAACATCTTTACTACACTTAATGGTGGAAAATATTTCTTGACCATAGATCTTGCAGGGCATATTTACAGACTACAATCGACGACAAATCGTAGGAACTACTGAGAATGGGTGATCCCAAAGGCCTCTATGGGTACAATCGACTCCATTTTAAAATAAAAGCAGCCCATACTATCATCTAAAAGAGAATGGATTCATTGATAAGTTAGCTGGCGTATCTGCTTATTTAGATAACATCATAGCGAGTACTTCCACCATCATAGAACATAACAAAAAAATTATAACATAACAAAAAAGAATTAAAGACGTTGGATTCAAAGTCTAACTCGAAAAGCATAAGCTCCTTGACATGTCAGTTAAGACTTTTAGTTTCGTTATTACTCCTCGTTATACCTCCAAAGGTCTCTAAATGCGACGATAATCAATACGAAGAATATTGTAAATATACTTTCACCTAGATAACTGCAATTATCGTCACTCGGGAAATCACACACTACCTTACATTTGTAAGTAAACTAAAAAAAAGTTGTGGACTCCTTGATAAACTCCTTCTGAAAGATAGTTTAGAGTTTAAAGGATCAGGAAAACGTCAGAAGTGCCCTTATAAGACTAAAAATCTGACAGTCGGGTCTGCTATTCACTCATCACGATCTTTTAGTACCAAATCTGGTTGCAGCTGACGTTAGCCAATATGACATTGATTTAAAGAATGCCTTATTTCAGAAACATCAATTTAGGCCAAGGACGTGTCCCGTTTGATTTCAGAAGTACTTAGTTTGGTTTCCAAATGTCCAATTTAGAACCAACGTACATTAGTCAAAAGAAAATATATGAGTTGGATTATACGAGTGATGTTGGTTTTTTCAACATTACTCCAACATAAACGTAGCATTCCATCTTAACTCTAGTAACAAATGAATATATTATTTAATTTTCCATCATCTTCCACGCTCTTCCCGTTTCAACAATCTATCGATTCCTTCTCACTGAAAATTTCAGATCTAATGTTGAAGTAGCCAGGCTTTGAGATTTTCGGCGGACACAAACAACGATTTCGAATTTTGCCTGCCAATGTTCGGAGAAGGTAAGAATCCGTGGGGGGCGAAATCTGGATAGATTTTCCAGACGGTGATAGACTTCTCACATGCCATCTCTCACGATCTGAGCCGTGTCCAACCTGCCGTCGCTGTGGAATAGGACAATTTTTTTTGCCTCGTCTATTTGTCCTTCTCTCTTTGATGGCTAAATACATAGCCGCTTACAGTACAACGAACATACAGGGCACTTTAAGAGCTTTGTTGAATCGAAATAAACGGTAGAGAGATAAAAGATAAAGGCTGTATTTGGAAACAAAACCGAAATTATTTATTATATATAGGTATCTTTCTATGTCTAGGCTCAGTCTATTAGTTAAATACATCTTCACGTTTTCTATAATTAAATATTATATGTAAAACTTTCATATTTATAGTTCGCTAATAAAGTTGTTGTAGGTAGACCCAAAGGCCATAATGCGGTATGTTACGTAGCATAACATTAACAATGGTTTGAATTGTTTCGAAGTCCTTAACCTTGAAAGCATACAATATTATTTTTAGTTTATTCAGGATTTCCTGGTAGAACTACGTTATGGAAAAACATTGAAGATAAACTCATTTTCTAGCCCAAATACTACATGTGGGGTAGAGGAAGGTTTACAGTGAAGTAAACTGGTGACCTATAAGGGCTTTAGTTTACGCCTTGCGCGTTGGACTCTGCGAAAAATACAGTGCGAAATGAAACTATCGAAACCAGGCTCTGCATTATGCGATAAATCAGGACAATGTAATAGACCAAAAAGATGAAACCAAATAAGAGCGATGTTATATTTGTTTTAAAATCTTGCCACGAGCCTTTATAAGCGAATACCCCAGTAGAACCTACCTGTCTTCTTTGATGAAATTATTTCATTCTATGCTATCTGCGTTTAGAATAAACCTAGTTCTAAGGAAATATAATTTCATGGTTTACTTGTGGCGTACACAACAGATTAAGGACTATCAAGCTGTAGCACTCGAAGCGTTACTTGCCTTGGTTGCTACCATCTGGCCGTTTCGTTCATGAAGCTAAGGTAACGTCGCATTCTGCACACATCTTCCAATGTGGCCTCAAAGGACCAGTCAGAAATCTCATTATCGAGTATTTCGTGCAAAATTAACCGTTCTCTAAGGGAACATTAATTTTTGTTTGTCTTTTTTTTATGTATTTTAAATACGCGGTGCCGTATATGTCAGTAACAGTTCGATCGGTGATTCCAGAGGCACGATCAATAAGGACTGTTTCCGCTGTTTGACAAGGAGGCGGACATAACCATTTTCAGCTTTCGTCGGTATATATATACATACGGCTTGAGCCAATATTGCTACATATTCCTTAGAAGGTATGCGCGATAAGCACGAGTACATCTAGCTTATTACTATAATGCTAGATTGGGTTCAATGTTTTTGACGATGGCAGGAAAGCCTTTTAAAAAGCGTTCCACAAATCCAAAAAAAAAAGTGTTCCACGATGGCAACGCTTCGAAAAAGGGGCCTGTCGATAAGCCCATAGAGGTTAATAGCAGTGTAGAAAGTAACAGTGTAAAAGGCACTATGAAAAGCTATCTCAGTACGCGAAGTCCAATGTATAAAGAAAAACGCACAACTCTGAAACGGCGTGTACTTTAACAATTACAATACATTAACCATATACTAACTACTAAAACACACAGTTTTATCTTGATCGGCACGAACACTTTAAGGTAATCAGCTTGTGATCCCGAAGTGTCTTCATTTCATGTTAAGGATTATTATACTTCATTTGATGTCTAATGGTACTAGAACCTACGGTTGAGTCTTTAAAAGAATATTGTTACAGAAAAACAAACTGCTTGGTATAATTGTGCGTGCGTTCAAGAGGAGAATCGTGGACCGAATGTTAGTGAAATAACTTAGACTTAAGTTACTATGTTATTCTCAAAGGACTCACTAAGGAGACAATTACACTATGCCCAGGTATTGTCATAAAATCGCTTTACGTCCTAACGCGAAGTAAAAAAGTAAATATTTTTTTTTCCTTTACATCGTTGACCATATTTATAGTGTGAACACGTGTTGGGAATTACCTCTGAACTATAGAATCAATGATTTGCCTTTACTAAAATATTTAATTGAGTTAGGTCCTTCTGGACTTATCTGGGGCTCGGCATGGCAACCATTTGCCAGTGCTGAAGTTTCGGTAAATATGGGTACAAGTTTTATGTTATTGAGATGAGTCCATAATAGATACATCCTAAGATCTAACAAAGTACTTCAATAGGACGAGAATAGATACGAACTAGATCTCAGACAAATCAGAAGGAGTGGGAAGACATTTACACAGAGCTTTGTCCCAAACTCCCACCATCATATCGACGACGTTGACCGCCTTGGTTTTAAGCATGCATGCAGTCACGCGACACGTTATATTAGCCCGTTGTCCGAATTACACGATTGTGACGTTTGTTCGAACAAACGAAAAAAAGCTATTCGATACAGGTAGCTTAAATACTCCAAGATGTTTTATTCAGACGAAGCCTTTGCTGAAATTTACTGAAGCAGAAGTTCTATGTGTCGTCATCGCGGCTCTCTTATACGAAATGGACCTAGTGTGCGTTCCTTCAAGTCCGAAAGCGGTGCTACTTAGGTTATGGCTGTGGAAAATACATGTACCCGTATGAAAATAAATCGTATGACTTTATAGTATAGTGTGATCGTGGATGTACAATTGTTTCGTGTATCCACGGTCAATGACAGCTAAGATTGTTAGGTCTATAAATGGTGAATTCCATTGCCCTTATTCCGGTAATACTCTGCCTTACTAAGCAATAGTATGTGTCACTTTCATTCAAGACGCTATTTACTGTCTTCGTGAAAATTTAACCTCCTTTATATTCTGTTACTATTCAGCTTATGCCAGTTTTGAAAACCGTGAGTAGAGTACACTGCGTTTCCGCCTAGTACTATAGCGGAACTAGATGACAGAGCTACCTTAACGACTGATAACGCGTTTGGGGCGTTTTGCTTTCTGAAGCCTTTTTGAAGTTTATCTATACCTGTCCATCAATCATTGCCCTAAAGAGTCATTGACATGGCAATTAATATTTCTCAGACCCCTAAAACGGATTTTAAGAGAAGGTAGATGACATTTTTTTAAAGCTAACCTATTGACTCACTGATTCTAGAACTAACTATACCTCTAGGGGCGATAGACGGTAATCTATGAATAGTGTGTTCGTCGACGTCAAAAAAAGTACGCAAGAATGCTTAATAGTCAAGGAGTAATGTTGGTGAAAGAAAACCTGCAAGAAAATTTCACAACGAAAGCTGTTAAAACGTACCTGTTGTGAAAGACGTAGTCGCATGGGGTAGGTATAAGCGTTATGTAAACACAGCATATTTGATAGGGAGACATAAGCGTGCGCAAAAACCAAAACAAATAACTTATAGACGGCTATTTTTTCGGACCCAATTGGGCTATAAAAACGGAAGCTATTGGACTATACATTGTCACGCGAACTCTGATCTCATTTTGCGATAAACGGTATTTAAAATATAACTTTGTTTACTGAATTTTCTCGATATAATGTTTCGACTAACCGGTATATCTAAAGCCATTTATTTTAGGCAATCTATGTTCTCAGACGTAACGGCTAAAAAGAAAATTTGGTCTCGACCACCTAGTTAAATCAGTTGCTTTTCGTTAAGGCACTAATACATTGAACAGCAAGGTATTGCAAATAACAGTCACTGAGGAGGAGTTATTAAATCTTTGGTAGAGCCTCTCATGAAGTAGGCTCCGAAGGTTGATCCTGTTTTACAATGCTTCCAGTTTCAACATAGATATCAGTAATACGTACTCGACATAGACCAACATAGCCGCTGGACGTATATTGCTTGGACAATAAGGTCTACATGGTGCACCTTGTATCTTTCTATTTATCGTACTACGGTTACGGTTGTATCAAATACATCGATTTAATACATTTACTTTAATACATACTAATCCCAAATTTATTACATTTAAGATGCCTAACCAGTAAACAAATGCAATTCTACGGTAGCCGTAATTTCTCTCCATTATGTCACAAAGAAGTAGGCTGATGTTGAGGTATATTATTTAAAGCTCACAGAAAAACATAAACGAAATTTATTATTATCTTCTGTAGCTAGATCATTATCACTTGTTTGATCTTTTATTGAAAATAATATGACCCGGCACTCCACACCATTGATGAAGTGTGAGGTTATGTATGTTTGGTTTGTGTAGGGCCTACAATGCTATGTCCTTCGATGATGCTCATCACGGACGTGTAGGTCCAACAATTAAAACTAACAACGGTAGTCCCTAGAGCGTTCCTCCGTAGTTATAGTACTACCTACTATTAATTAGCGCATATATGTATACGTAAATCTGTTCAATCTATTGTCAATGTGGCTTGCAACACTTGTTCGAAAGACACTGTGCAGAAAATAAGTTATTAAGTATAAGTTCTTCTCTCTCCACAAACCCCAAATAGATCCTAACACCGAAATGTATATTTGCTCTGATGATTTGTTTCGTGCATGCTGACCTTATTCGTTTTCTAATTCCTATATATGCTATTTTAAGAACGAAAAAAAAGTTCCTGATGCCTCTGTGACATATACCAGAATCGCACGTAGGATTAACGAATCTTATGGTTCTTGTTTTTTTTTATCATTATTTTATCTCCAAGGTGATGGTGATACGTTTTGGTACATACAATCATTTTCTATTACTCGTTTTGTATATTCTCGTATATAACGAATTAAATAATGCAAATATACAAGTGACGATTAAGCCCTGTAGAAAAGGTAGTGTCGCAAACTACAGTTTTTTTTTTTGCAAAATCTGTAATCTCGTAAAGATATTTTTGCTTTTCAAAAAAAATCCTCTGTAAACCCATATTACCGGACATGTCCATACGATTTATGCCGTATCGTCATCTATATATACAGCCGTACTTAACCAGCATAGGAATTAGATCAGTGATTTAAATAATGCGATACATTAAATATAATGAGTGGTTCTCATACGCCTCTACAGATGTAGTAGTGTTATACACTTTGCCAATGTCCACTTGAAGGACGATCCAACGAGCCATTATCACATACTGTCATCTTTATAATATATATCATAAGCCTTTCTTTAGACAGACCCCTATCGCTAAACTAGCCGTTTTTTGGGGCGTCTCTTCCAAAATAATGTTAGTATGTATATTTCTAATTGTCTAGCGTATTTTGAGAAATTCGTTATAGATCACCTTGCGCCATTTTTACAGCGTACGAAACGTTGCAAAAATAGCGAAAGGAACAATGGATGTGATTCAGCAGGTTCCTGTTTTCTAGCTCTTTTAAAATAACACGCACGTTTTTGCTCGCTTTTGACCCAGTCTGAGGGGCTGCAATACTCTGGCGTCAGCCTGATCGTCCAGTCCATTGCGATCATACACTGCCCGGGCATGACAGTGAAGACAATGTTCGCACCGAACAGTTCCGGCGTATACTAGCGAATCCGGAAGGTTTGACCATTTCGTTCGGACGGCATTCGGATCATATGCTGATGTGGGAAGATCTGCGATCAGAGCAAAATATCTAAGTGAAGCAAAAATTTTTAAAAGAAAGCCAAATATGCCCCTAAATTTGCATCAGTTCTGAGCCAAGGCTCTAACAGACAGGGCCCAGTGTTTTGTGGGTGAGAGCCTTACAGAACCGAACAAATACCTTATTAGTGAGATCTAGTCTATATAATACATTAGCCCTCAACTTCCTTAAACAAACATCTCCGTTGTTTGCCAACCAGCATATACTGACGCAACAGATCTAAACTAAATTTATTATATCATTGCCTTTAGCGTGTATCTGCGAGTTTATTGATCAATGACCGTTCCGTTTACCTTGTCGGGCATAGTCCTTTTTCAGCGTTCCCCCTGTCGAGGCCGATGATTGCGCTGACTGCGCATTTTCTTTGGGTGTACCGGTTTTTTCCTTTTCAGATGCGGAGCGATAACTCAACTCCGGCCGGACTCCGAACTCTTCAGTACCTGAAATCGCCACATCTTCACGATTAACCCGTTGAAAAGGTAGTCCCCGTTTGGAAAAAACCAATGACATCTCGGGTATGTGCTGTATCGGCAAAGGCAGATCTTCTCGCTTATCAACTGTGGTGCCTGTCGCAGTGGCGACGGTATCCATTAAGGTTTCAGCGGGTGCTGTATCATTTATAGGTGGCTCGTGCACAACATGCGCAGTTGGCCGCACTGACCGTTCTGACATCTTGATTTCCAGTGCCCGAGGTCTGGAAGATGGCGCCGTAAATAATAAAAATAGAAATGTACGAATTTTTCTTGATAATTCGAACGTCGTCTTCGAAAATCAACGACAATTGTGCTTACACTATGCTTATTTCTGCTGAAGTTAAATTTTTAAGAGATCTACTGTGCATTATATATATGAATATATTTCTTGAGCTGCCCTTAATTCACATGGTACATTATTCATCAATAGCCTAATCTGCCTCCGCAAAGAATGGTACGGCATTGAAGAAGGTGTACAAGTGAGGCTTTTTGTTGTTGCCGTAAACTTTGGTAAGCAGCAACGTACGCTCGGCACTCGCACCATGTAGGCGACCGCATTCGGTAGCGGGGCGTACCTTCGATCTTTGCGACCTTCAAGCCAGTACGTCTTCATTTCACCCTTACCCTGGAAACAAAGTTATGTAATTAACTTTCAAGCCACTGAATGTCTACTCTGTTTGCGTGCACCATCGTGGTTCAACTTAGTAGCTATAGGTTTGAGCCTTCAGAGTCCCAGGCACTTAGTAATCCGTTGATTCTCTCAGAATCTGTTTTGTTAGTAACGCAGTTTGCTTTCCATTAGGACCCCTGCTGTCTACGCTGCAGTATGTTAATCTGTTACTAGTAAGCTATTGTGTCCATTGTTTTTGTGTTTAAGGGAAAAGCTTAACGCGTGAGTACGACCGGCGAATGCTGCCACATGTTTCTTGTCACCATACTTAGTATGAGGATACTTAGGATGAGTATTCTTTGAAAAGTGGAGCTAAATGTAGTGCTCTATTTCGATCAGATTTAGGCAACTACAGGACATACTCAGGCACCGGTATGTTAATCTAAGCACCAGATGAGCTCAGAGTAAAATTGGTTGTCTCCTATTTAATAACGTATCCCCATACACACCTTGACTACCACGGTGCCTCTTTCGGTGATGGCCCACGCATTTGGATCGAGTAAATTCTTGGTTGTTACGCTGATGTGTATTTTTAGAGGCTGAAAAAGGAATTGGCATGATAAACAATTGCATGTTTCGTCTGCTCTGATTTTACTGCATCAGCCAGTTAACTTACACAGAGGCCATTTAAGCGTTCTTAAATTCTAGATTCCATATTAACATTTTTGACATTTTTTGCATAAGAACAATAATTTGACATTGTTACGTATCACTTTATAGACACTTGGGCTTCAAGCCTAGCTTTATAGCTCAATAACAGGTGGCAAATATATGTTTAGCATGAGGTTCGTTTATAGAACCAGCGTATCGCTTCTACCGGTTTTTATGACCTAACGACGCCAACTGTATAGCCAGAAGTGAGAAAAAATATTCATTTGCTAACTCCACACTTCGAAGTAAGTGTGAATTGGACTCGGTAGCTTTTTCAAGCGAATTTCTTTTAAACGGTTCATTTTTGACAGGGTATTTGTAAAGGTCGTACTTCACTTGTGGACTCCATCCTCGAAGCCGTATTTACGCTGTCTCCAAAGAGACAGTAGCGCGGCATCTTTTGGCCCACAACGCCCGCGCAAACTGCGCCCGAATGCGCTCCTACACGAATTTGAATCCCTTTGCCAGTAGACGGATCCTTGAGCCCCTGGATACATTGTACCATATCAAGGGCCATTTCGCAGATTTTTTCGGCGTGATGCGTCGTCTTCTCCGGGGCCCCTGCCACAATCATATAGGCGTCTCCAATTGTCTCCACCTTAAGCGAATGGATTGAATATAAAATAAATGTATTAACAAAAGCACATCCGCAAATGTATCCATACACATGCACAGAAATATAGGAAGGTAATATGTTATGGTGTTTTGCTGTGAGCCAAGCTCCAGCCGAACCAGTACGACCCCAGGATGAGGTGCGTCGATGGAACGACATAATCTGCAAAATGAAAGCGTTCTGTCTAGTCCAAAAGAAAGAGAACATCGTTTATGGTTTCTCATAGGTGAATGAAACACTAATAAACTTAACCTATCCTAAAAGGATTCAGTGGTAAAAAGAATTTTCGAAATAATTCTAGCGTTACATGTGAAACCCGCGTCATGCGATTGGAGCTAAGCACGAAAAGAGGGTGTACGTGCGGCAGCTGTGGCTCTCAGCCGCCTTAGATGCCCGTAAATTTATTAAGCAAACCTCTTATCAATGTTAACAAAACGAGAGAGCTATTGAACTGATACAGCCCCACCCAACTGTACCGCTTCGGACTAATGCTTCCTCACTGGTACCTCTTGTAAACTAACGCTTAGAGACCCTAACAACTCGAGGGTCTTTCGTAAAAGCGCATTCATTATAATGGCCGCTGGATTGACAGGACGAATCATGCGACGAAACCTAGGTCACAGGAAACAAATGACATGGATTTACTTCGACTGCGCTTGGGGTCCGCTCAGTGAACTTAGATAAATGTAAACAAATTCCGATCTGTAAGAACATTTAGTTTAGTATTAATCTGTAAGTTGGTTGAGAAAAGTTATGTTGTCAACTATCCCTTTAGAGCTGTGGGCGACACCTTTTCAACTGAACTAAGGAACTTTAGAGTTTTAAGTCGCGAACCTTTAACCTTGGAAAGCAGACGACTTTTTAGTACACTCGTTTCGCTTCAATCTTTTCGCGCATCTCAGAGCGAACAAGACCACGGTTATTTGCATCCGTCTCCTAGTTACGTAACGAAACTGGCTATATTCTGATCCAGCTATACGATGTAGCGTACGGTCCGTGTCTTCAATAAATTATATGATCTATAAAATCTATTATATCCCAATCTTGGGATAGCTTTTTGTAAGTGCAGCTTTTCAGTTGGTTTTTAGATAACTTGAAGTTAGCGTGATGAGCACACTCGAACAAATGCTTCAGTTGTTTAGCCTATCAAGTCCACATCTCCCCACTCCCTGATAGAGATGCCAAAGTAGGACGCAATAAAATAAATATGTCGCTACACTCTGTCATAAACATTTGCGAGCTAGTTAATAAATCATTAATAGTCTATACGCTTCTATAGCTCTAGTTTCTGTTTTAAGCCTACGAGTAAGAACGTCGTTGTTCGGTTAAATCGATCTTTGAACAGTTTTCAATCAGTAATCGATAGGTTTCTCGCCTAAGCAATTCGTCCTAGCCATGCCTGTATATCAATCAATAATGTGAGTTATTACATGTTTATACTACGCTCGTTCCTACCTTGTAGACGCCGTGCTTGTCCGTCAGTTGATCAAATAGGGAGTACATTGAGTTGAGCAGCTGGACAACTTCAATCGGAGTGATCCGAGAACAAATTTCCGTGAACGTCACGACGTCCGAGAACAGAATTGTAACTTTATCGAAGAACTGCAACAGGGCTTAAAGTTAGCGGGAAAAATACGAAACAAACCGTACTCGATGCAAACGTACATTGATCTTAAGCAGAAATGTTCCAATTCATCTGATGTAATCTGCTATCAATAATGCTCTAATAGTCGTTCTTGCTTGCCCGCAAGTCTGAAATAAATTTGCGGGCAAAAAAACAGTGTACGTTTGTCGAAACTAATAACACGAATTCTTGCGCAACCGCAGATATAGGCTAGATTTGTTTGTTCGAGAGTACCGTCTTTTGTTCGATATGGGAATGGCTGATCGCTATCGTTCCATCAACGACGACCATCTTGTCAATACTGATTCGTTTCCCTTGCCGACGCATTACATCCTATGACGCTAAATATATCTCAGTGATGCTTACGCCATTCATAAGAAAACAATATTATTATCCTATTTATTGTTACCATGGTCAAAGGATGAAGTGATGTTTTGGGTGAGTGGCAATACCGCGGCGAGCTTACTCGAAAATCTCAAATATAGTTACATTTGAACAAAAATCACTAAGTTTATTGATCGAGCCGTACGCCTTACTGCACGCACACTATGTAGGGCGTCCGGCCCAAGGGTTACGTCAAGGGTCATTTTCCGTGCCACGCATACGTTTATTCGATCTCTATTAGTGTGAACCAAGCACGTTCTTCAAACGTGAAATGCCCTTCAGTCCCGTACGAAAACTACCTGCATTACTCACTCGAATAACAAACGAAGCGATTAGATATGATAACTTTAACCGTATTGGCGCTTAATATGTCGGTCGGTTTCCTAAACGTATAAAAAAGTTTCAAAGTTTCAACGAAGTTGAAACAACTGGCTAAGCGCTATGAATACGATCTTCAAATAGCTCAGCTAGGAATGGAATAGCTTCATAACTTCGCAAATCGAATAACTTACGTTGGAGTGCTAGTTACAGTAGAAAACTTCAATTGAATTTTTCATGTCGCTATGATAATGTCATACGTGCCAATTCTTCTTGAAAGAGATCAAAATATGTAATATTACAGTAGTATGCATTTTCTACGCGTATGATTGTAGTATGTTTCAGTTTTTAGCTACCCAGCACTGCGTTGAATGCTTGACCCAGTAAAACGGGTCGTGCGGATGCTTATATAGATATATGCTGGTCGACCGTAGATGATAAATTCAATACTACTGACATCGATTCGTGTGCTTACTTCTCTAGAGACTGGGGTGCTCATCTGCTCTGTTTGCGTTTTGCTAGCCGAAACCTGTTTTACATTGTATAAAATGGCAATGCACTGGATAGAAGCATCAATTCGGGTTGTAGCTAGTTATAGCTGAAGCCTAGTTGATTCTATTAAGGAGTTGTTATTATTAGTGGCCTAACGAGGTACAATAACATTGGCTCATATTTTAAGCACTGTATGCATTAGCAGTCAACACATCGGTCATCCATCTATCTTCTAAGAAGACCGACTTAATGAAGAGCTGTTCGCGGTACACGAGACCCAGAGTGCGAGAAAGTGCCCTACGTATTAGTTGTTCCGTTCGCAACTGGTATACAATTGTATGGCTAGCCCAGAAACTTGTTTGAGTAGCTAAACAGAGTCGAGGTTGTTGGGTGTAGGACGTAGTCGTTCCCCGGTTGCGCACTAACCCCCACTTGGCTACTTTGGCTGGGGAAATGGTAATGTAAACTGGAAAGGTACAATATTGAGGTAGCGTAGTCGCGACCTTGCTGTCTACTAGGGACCACTAGCTATCGAGAAAAGCACAACTGCCAGGAAGGAGGAACGATTTAGACGTTGTGGAGCCTCCTTTCACACGCAATCTACTCACCGTTATCCAACGTAGCTACAGTGAGCATAAACTACACGCATCGTACAATGTGCCGCGAAACGCGACCAGAACACCAGAAGGTGTCAGGACAGCATAATGATCTGATTCTCAGTTTAGCTCAATTAGCCTACCGGTGAGCTGACTGGTCCTAAACAAATCACAGTTTCCCACAGAGAACTCGTATACTGCGGAGCTTGGGGTAGGCGTGCGTTCGCAGCTGAGCATCTGCGAGCGTCTATGTATACACACGTGTACGGTCCTTTTTCGTCAATAAGACGCCGTCAGACTTTTTCGTAAATTAACAGCAAATCACCGAACGCAAGCGCCTATGTTGTCTCCACTAGGAAGGCTGAGTCCGACCCGTCTCGCAGCGATGAAGTTTATATGTACGGCTAAGAAGTATCGGTATTATGTACTATGGTAATATCCTGTGTCACTACCGTACACCGAGCTTATTTTTCTTAGTGGAATCAGCTTGAGCGCTTGTGTTTGGGTGATTTACCATTAACGTACAGAGCTAACCGGCAAAGATGCTCCCCCTACCCACCAATAAATAAGCATCAGACGCCCGCAGGTATGAAGACGTGGAAACGCTTATTGAACCAAAACAATATGGCAGCGATAAAAATATATAAATACAGACAGGTAGAATTGTTTCTTTTGCGTTCCAGCATAGGGTATTGTAATGATAAGTCGCACCTAGGACAGCGTGCTGTCAAGCTTCATTAAGAAGAAGAAATGAGAAAAGCGACTGGCACGTTATTCTTTTTAGCATTAGTAACTGAGTCCATCTCAGGCTCAGACAAAGGTACTTCACAGGACAACGTACTACAGAGCATTAGCAAAGCCAACAAAAATGTAAAGAGAGCAACCGATATCTCTTCCGACAGACGTTATCGAATTCGGAGTTAGCTTGCTAAGGTTAGGCGCAGGTCAGATCAATTCAGAAAATACAGAGTGCTTTACACATAGACTTGATTTGTTCCACGAACAGTAAGTCTGCTGTGAAGGGCATAGAGCGATACCGAGCTGAGGATACGTGGAGTCGACGTACGATAAAAATTAGATCCCAATATCGTCACTAAATCAGATAATTAAACATTCGTACTTGGCATAGACCCGTTCGATCCATATCAAACGACCAGTTAGGCTTGGTATTACCTGACAGATATCAACGCTACTTTCTCCTTTACGCAGCTTGTCAGCGACGGTTTTCGGAATCATCTGATAGAGAAGTTCATCAGTGCGTTTCATTTCCTGGTCGAGTTTTTTCATGGAATCCTCCAACTGTTTACTTTTTTGCAACTCCTGAAAACGTGTGATATGCATAACGCGCGCCTGTTAGTTACTATTGACTCCGAGGTATATTTGCCTTCATTGGTCGTTACGACCCGGACAGAATCGTTCTCATCTGCAAAGCCGTTTCGGAAGAATTGTGATGAATCGCTAAATTGGGTTCAAGTGTTATTAGAACCTCATCTAGGTCAAGGTAAACGGTCAATTTAGGGCGGGGTAACTGTGGCCCGGTAAAATCTCTGAGCGTTTATTGTTCCTTTGTTTATGGCTACCCGTAAGCAATATATCGACTATCTTAATGATCATAGCAGCAAAAACAATAGTGCTCAATAACGCGCATGTCAATCGAACGCATTCAGGTAGGAAATACAGACTTATTTAGAAATGATTGCAGGAGAAGGCCCCAGCCAAAAATCAACGCGCCGATTCCAGGGAGCTCCTTTAGCTAAAGAGTCATATGGTAGCTACATCGTATGCGTTGACAAAGACACTTGCTAAAGCATGCTAATTTTTCGAATTGACTACAGCCGACTATAGACTGATCGCGGTGCGGTCGCCGATGCACTGTGATTTCCCTTGGGAACAGAGTGACGTTGACCAAATACACCCAGTACCTCATAAGCGCTTCGGAGAGACCCAACGAACATACTGCAGCGGGATTTGTACAATCGATCAAGAAATAACATCGGCTGCCTTTCACAGCCATTCATTAACTGTACACGGTCTAGTGAAGGGCAGATGACTGTGAGAGCGCCATCCCATCTTATCGTTGCCATGTCATATGAAAGCCGATCTCGATGGTGTACTCAAACCTTTTTCCGTCGTGGGTTTCTGTACAAAACGTTATCGAGCCGTACCGTATCGTGACGCTGCAGGAGCCCGTGACTTAATAAAAGATGATACTAGCAGAAGGCCAACAGCCAAAATGGCCTTGAAGAGCCTAACCCAGCAGCTAGGCTAACAGGCATGTGCAAGACGATAAGGGTCCGCCCTCAGCAGGCAAGAAGAACAGGCTAATATTAGCAAAGCCCAATATCTTACTTGATATTTTTCTCCACTGCCCTCAAAGCCCTGATCGGCTACGTGTAATTAGCTGTAGCCTTCGAGAACCTCTGCGATGTTGTCCAAAATCCGAAGGGAGATCGAATCGAAAAGCATAAGCCATTGGTGAATGTACACAATGGACACTGAAAATCCTAATTTTTCAGCTGAATAAATAATAAAGTTTCCTCCGGCTGCTTCATTGAGTCTGAACTCGTCTGTCGTGTCAATGCCAACCAAATGGTTGGCCCAAATAACATTGATCCAATTAGAATTAAGTTTTTTTTCGGATAAATTTTCTGCAATTGTTCTCAGACCAGTATATTCTACAAGTGATACGTACAGATCTTTGAACGAACAATAATACTTCACAGAGCTGATTTAGTTAAACCTCAAATAGTTAATAAATGGCATAAGTGTACATTTAAATGGGCATGTACAGTTTGAAGTTATCGCATGATATGAGGTGCATCATGTATAAGGAACGTCAATTGGCGTTGTGATTGAGATCGACAACGCCAATTGACGATCGATGAACGGTTTTGTCGTTGTGTCCTTAGCCCTCAGAAACCTACGATGTTTACTGGCCTGCCCTTACCTTAATCTTACCTTAAGCTCTGCATGTCAGTGTTATTCATCCTAAGAAGTCGCAGTTCAGTAGCCGAGGGGGGTGAGGCAGTTCAGTTTTCAGATAACTCGAAAGCTAGTTAGGTCATACGTTACTTCTTAAAGAAATCGTATTTATACTGACTTTGTCCAGCAGGAAGCAATAAGTCTGAGTAAATTGGTAGCTATAATTCAACGTAAATTTTCACCAGTTTCAGTGTCGTAATCTACTACCATGGGAGGAAAAGATCTATGTTTACGAGCGTATGGTGGACGTGAACGGCGGCTCTTTCGGGCACTATCGGGGGTTGTTCAAGTAGACTGTTGGTGTACGACTGACGCGGTCCTTACTATATGCAATAATTAAGTAAGGCCCCAACGTTTATTATGAACTTATGTCTTTTTATTCGTGCTTTATGGTACAATCATGTCCATCTACCTATAAATTGAGGCTATTTCTAACCTGCTCGAAAGCCATTTTCAGCTCGGAACTTTGTTGCTGTCCAGCAAGTACCATATCTCTGGAAAAGTCATGCATCGATAGGTCGTTTACATACAGGCCTGTTCTCACCATTGTGATTACGTCCCGCACTCTGAAACAGCAGGGAATGCACATGTAAAGGAAAATTCTCATCAGCTAGCTAAAACAAATGAATTTTTGAGGGCGTTCGTGTCTTAGCTATTCCCTATTTCGAAACTGCTTTACCGTATCGATAAGTCAGGACAAAATGCACTCAGCTCAACGATCCAGATAGATGTCGGCGTCCTAGTCTCTCTCGTTAGTGGAAATTGATCGCGTGCTCACCTCAAATGCTTAGCTTTATCAATCAATCAATCAATCAAATCTTGGAAAATCAATCGTTGAACACAACGTCTGCATGCAACGAGAGCACGCAAGGCACGAAACGATTTTTGCTACGTGGACCAAAGTCGACTATCTCTGTTTATGATCAGAATTGGCCTAATTATTCTAGTAAGCTAACCCTAATTATTGTTTCTAGATTTCGTATCATTCATTACTGGCCTGAATGGTTTCTGATGCGGTAACCCATAGAAAAATGCTTCGCTATAGTTAACCGATTGTTATTAGTAATAGTCGCTTTATGTCCTAAAAACGTAACAAACATCCTCACTGTCGTTTCTGTTGTACGATACTGAGGCTCTTTTAAGATCATTTGCGTCCAAGTTTCACAGCCATAAAGCTATTGGGCCCCCTTTTTAATTTTACGCAATTTTATTTCAAATTTAACGCAGACAATCTTGGATCCTGATTTGGCCTTAGTCTCGCTGATCAGTCCAGCCATTAACCGACCGCTTCTAATGATGAAACGATAAGAAAATGTACGCGTAATTAAAATAAATTGCCAATAATTAGCGAAATCATACCATATGTGAAAGGACGAGCAAAACTGCAAAAAAAAAAGTTTCTGAAAAACAACCATATAATGCACAATATTTGATCATCTATTTTACAGTAAAAATGTTTAGTTGTTTTGTAGACGCGTTTCATTAAGGCCACAGAGGCAAGTGTTTTTTTCTGGTTGGAGATAAATACGTGTAAAACATAATCAGCAGTAAGGAACTCTGCATTTAATTACGTACGTATAGTGGATTAATCATCCCGATTGATCGGGCTAGCTTTAGGCAGTGTTCACTGGCTAAATCGCGTGACTAGATCGAACAACACTGACACATTTTTTAGGTAAATATGAAATCAACTAAGACAATGATCCTAATATAATAGTATTCCGCTCCTTCTCGACAAAAATGTCGCTGTTAATTCAATTGGGCGGGAAATCGACGTTTCTCTGTTTCGAATTTCTACTCCTGCTGTCGCCTTTAGGTACACCACCAGGCTGCTGTATCTCAGCAGGACACGAAGTGTAACCATTCTCAGGTTCAAACATGGACACACAACCACTCCTAAAGTTAGCAGGCAAATAGGTTACCCGCTAAGCTATCACGGGGCTTGTTTTGGCAATATTGCGGCCAGACCGTGACGCTAAGCATGAATGATCGGTAGTGGCAGGTGAGAAGTGTGGCTTTATCGTTTCGCTAATAACTTATGATTTAGCTACTAAACTATTCACCATAATGGGGGCAGTGAGGCTAAGTTCTGGCTGTTCCTTGAACATGGACTGCTTCGCTTGCAGCCATTAAAGTACCTTGTATATATATAGAAGTCCTTTAAAAATTTTAAGAGAGCAGGGATGGCTTCTTAGAATGATATCAATAAGAAGTAAACGCGCCATTATTTTGTCTGTGTTGTAGATTTTTTCTACCGTAAACATATATCGATGCCGGACCCCATATGCTTTTTTCAGAGTATTCCTACCTATTATTGATTTTTCGTCCAGGAGTCTTTCACTAGCGGGCGCGTATATTCTAGTTGGCATAAAAGATGCATTCAATCAAATTTACATCAAGTAAATTCCTATTCAAGCCTTAATTATCTATATTCATATTATTAACGCCTTATCGCCATTAACGTTCGTTATAATTTGGAATACACTTTCGGTTTGACGAGAGCAAAGTACTAAAATAAAGATGCCCTTTGATTAGCAATTATAGTGTAGAAAAATTAACTTGCTCAATAGAATGCTGGAACTTTTATAGTGCTTCTCCTAGACAGTCAATGGTATTAGGACAAGTGGTATTGTGGAACTAGGTGAAGGCAAACATGTGAGTTTATTGGATAAGCTGAAGTTCCGCAACATCGTTGCGAATACCCAAAGCTGAAATCCGGTACCCCTAAGTGAGATTTTTGCTCCTAAAAAACATGTCCGCTCGATTATTTCTTTGCACGCGTCAGCAATTTCCTTTGTGCAGTTTTTTCAAAAATTATTGTTCGTTAGAAAGCTGCCATTCGGTCCATTCAGGCAGAATCACTTCTGGAATATGCAGAGCCAAAAAAAACGTTAATAATAACAATGATTCGTAAAAACGATCATACTTGATCTAGAAGTCCCAGTATTTCCAGGGCTATTTCCGCGACACAGAAGAGGCTCGATGGTGATTACACATAGTTGTACTCCGTCACGTTCGTTAAATTTCAAGATCTTCTTTTGTTTACGAGTAATTGTATCATGCAGTTTCGTACAAATGTGTGCGTGTGGTCTACCTAAAGAAAGACCTATATTTCATATCATTCCCCTCTTTCCAAGAGTAAAAACAACTCCGCGGTATAACACTGCACAAAAAACATAATGCACTTCTTTTTCAAGAAATTTAAACTTCTATAACATTAAAGGCAGATGTAGAACTATTCTAATGGATATCAACGTGTGTAACTCTTACAGACTTACACAGGCGCCGCTAGATACACCATCGCCTGCCACTCTTCCATAAACAACATTTGGCCTTTAAGATGGAGGAGCGAATCTTCATAGGCTGAGTCATCTTGTTCATCGAGGTACGGGCTAGAACCTTCATGCTCCGGATCGACGTTGGAGTGAGCTTTTACTGCTTCGAGGGTAGTCATCTCAAACACGTTGTTCATATGTGTTATGATCTGCAATAAGGAGGGGAAACATAAGCTACCTGTCATTTATCGGCCCCGTTTCGGGCTGTTATGAACGATTCCTGTTTTTTCTGTATCTCGGTCATATCGTTTAAGAGCATAGACACTCTACTGATGATTGCGTAGAGGATAGGGTGTCTGGGTGGTAGTCGTATAGGTGATGGTCTAGGCTCGAAATCGAGCAGGGAAACAGGTAGTATATTTCTGACAGGAGTCATGGAATGCCTAGCGGGGATATCGCAGAACTCGAAGCATTTTGATTTTTAGCCAGACAATACAAATCATTATCATGTATTGCAGAAGTGATATACCATAACTCAAATCGTTGATTTACTTCATGTTACCATGTCTAGCTTTGGATGATCATGTACGAAATCAGTGTCAGGGTAAAGCGACTGCTCTGCCGGCATACGCCACTGCATATAACGACCTTTTTCTGCCATATAGCGTATAGGTGATTATCTGAATTGAATTGTAATAGAAGCGTCAATAGCATGTCCACAGCAGCAAAGAGAAGGAATAACCCAAGATGGGGAGAGAGGGTTTAGGGGGTATTTTTGGGGATCTTTTAAATCTGTCAGCAAGATAAACGTAGTAAAATACTTACGCCACTCCAATTACATTCGATAAGAGGTCGAGCCAGGCCAAACACCTGCGGTATTCGCTTATTAAGCGCCGTCGGCATGACAATCATGAGAGATTTGCCCAGATTGGTGATGGTTAGTTGCTGATTGAATACAATGCAGAATGGGAAGATTTCGAGGAAGACGTATGCTCTGATCGGCAACAACTTTCCACCGACGAGCATTGAGTCCAAGTCCTATAAGAGGCGTTATTTGAAGCATACAACAAATACAGTGAACATCTGACAATACGCAAGCAATTTTACTGCCTAACGCTGAAGACTCACAAGTCTTACTAATGCTCATAGCTGACCGCTGGTTCTTTCTACTATTATCTGTAACCTGGACATCCAAGTATATCAGTATAGCAATTAACTGCTGAGCTTGTGTGCAGTACTGGTGAAAAATACTTGACAGTTTTTAAGATAGAAAAGTTTGATCAACTTTTATTTCTATGTCCAGTACCATAAGAAAGTTAGATAGTAGCAGAACTATATCTTCCCTTTTCAATAGCGATTGTTAACTTTGTTCTGCGGCAATTTATCCACAACAAAATCAAGCGTCTAACAGCGTTCGCTTATCAATCTCTGTGCAGCTCTTTTCCGCTCTTCGTTTGAACGGTTAAATTCGACGCATCCTACTACGCCCCTTCGATTGTTATTAGCCTCTTTGGCCAAGTGTTTTTTAAAAGCACCTTTTGCTTTCGTCGAAGTACCATTGTTTTATTATAACAATTTATATTTTAACGCGTTGTCTAAATCTCTTTATAGGAACACGGCAGCTTCTTTCGCCGCGTCAACGCGATTTCCTTGGTTTAATAGCGATATCGTACATCCTGCTTCGATATCTTCCACACGTTCTGCTCCAGATCTTCAATATCATTTTTACGCACAGTCGATATCACTGTAGTGTAATCAGAAATTTTGCTCTATGCCATGTCGCGATAGCCGTCGGTGGAATAGAATGCCACAAAAGTCGTACATTGGTTCCTATAGCGTATAGAGGCACGCAAAGGAAATGAGTCAGCCATTCCAAAGTTAGCAAATTAACGTAATCAATGTTTAAGCTTGAAATCATCTTCTTGGCAGGCAACAAGCATACGACCTCTGAAGTAAGACGCCTCCTGCTGAGTTATGCAATATCTATAATTTCTTCGCGTTTTTGCCTCGGATAGATACCGTGGTGCATACGTGTGCTTGCTCGTCCTTAAATTTCGAAGACGTCGTGTTGGTGCACTTCAAAATCTTTATCTAGAAGGCAAGTTTCTTTCAGGAGCCGCAAGGTGCCAATCTTTCCCAACTGCTAAACCTTACACGGAGTAACTGATCGCAAAACAGAGTTAAAATCGTGGCCCATATATATACCCTGTAATTATAGTTGCTCCAACTTCCGTTTGATATGAAAACAAAGTAGCGAGAACTTGACCAGAGACCCATGCCAGCGGGCTCGTTAATACAACACGTGTACTCTTTATTTTATTCGAACAAAGCCTTACGGTAATTTATTACTAAACTTTAAACATTTACATATGATTCGAGATGGTAATGCAATATGAATTGTTTAAAAATTTCACTATATATATATATATATATATATATATATATATATATATATATATATATATATATATATATGTGCGTTGAAATCTTTTTAAAAATGATTTCACCGCTCACCCCTATTGAAGGCTGCCATTTACTGCTTTCGTGTCTTTCCATCTTGATCCTAATGCATTAATATCCCTATAATGATATAAAAGAAAATCCCTGAAATTATTTTTAAAGGGCCTAGCTGTTCCTGGCATTGAACTAAAACACTTCTCAATCAATGGGCAACTTGCTGCATTATTACACGCCTTTTTCCACGCGAGCTTTCTGCTTGATAAAGGCTTACATGAATGAGCCTATATTATTCATGCGGAGGAAGGCGAATCCCAAAACAAGTCGAATAATAGCTACTTGTATGCTTACCACGCTGTTTAATAAATCTTGTGGAACAAAACCTCCGATAAGTCTAGGAAGGCCCACCTAGGTTAGACCCCTCCTAGCTGGGCTAATCTTTAGTGGCAAACTGCAGAAGTAGTGATTCTTGTCCGCACAAACAGTATGGAGTAAAAAAGAGAATTTCGCGAGGGCATTATGCCGGAAAATTCATAAACAGATTTCGCGTTGATAAGCCTTAGAATAAGTAGTCAGCAATGTACTGTGGAGTTGTGTTAGATTTCAAATCAAACCAAATTTTCTGTATTACGCAACGAACCTGCGAAACTCCTACTCAGTGGGTTTGATTTATATGGCCTGAGTTCTACACAGGTGTACGCTTACATTCACATATCAGATAAAAAAAAAAAAGAAGCTTGAACTCCATTGGTTTTCTTGGCGTTCAGAGTCGCGATGATATCCAGTACCTTAGAACTTTACTACATACATGACAACATATATAATATGCCTTTAGATACTCGTGTATATCTGGAAGGTCATAAGAGATAAAGGCGCGAGCAAAGATGCTTTAAAGATGCAAAACTTTCTCGTCGTCACTTCGCTACTTGCTATGGCCTGTACGCCAGTTGGCAAGAGTTGCTTCGCCTCCCAAAAGAGTTTCCTCTGGCCAGTTACGGCTGGCTATAAATCCTTAGTCTTTTTGTACCCTTTTGAGCGGGCTCGGACCGCTGGCTTTATTTTGTTCTGCTTATTGCAGTATGCCCAAGGCCACTTGTCGTACCGTTGCGAAGTGAACAAATAGGGAGGAATGTAATATAGCTGCGACTGCGGCCACGTGTGCCTATACGTTTGTGGCTGTTTCTGCGAAGCTCTGGTGGCGCCTACCGAAATGACAAGACAAGAAGGCCTAATTGCGTTAGCAGCCACAGGCTACAAAGGCCCAAGATGTCTCCTATGTACAAATGGACGCCGTAAAATGCTAAGTAAAATAACGCTTCCCTGAGCGCCCATTCAGCGATTAGTGTGTCTTATCTGACTGTTTTTGTCAGCAGCCAGCACATGATTCCGATATTTCACGATTGCTAATTTATTTTATAAATTTGCATCATTAAGTCACACTGCGCAAGGGATACAGTAATTTTCATTGCGAAAGCTTGTATGAATGGCTGTTGATTATATGAGTGATTATATTTCTATAGTATACCTTTCCACGGCCTCATCTGTGTACTCCACATCGAAATCAGGTGATGATTTTAGAGTTTTACGTCTGGAACCTTTGAAGCACTGTGACATCCAGTGAACAGCGTATCAACAGATTATTTGCCTAGAGAAAAGCTGGCAGTCCCTGTTAGTTTACCGTTCGTATATATATATGATCAGTTTTCCCGATTCTATCATGCTGATTGGGTAGCAACTATACCTGGGTCTACGCATGCGTCTTGTCTGTCGCGTTCGCCCTCCTAAATACTGACACATTTAAGAGACGGACGAGTCTCACGGTCACGAGGCAAGGTTGTGCCGTAGCTTAATGGTCTCTTGACTTTTCTGACTTGACATTTTTGTTGTGTTTGTCAAGTTCGAAATTAGCGGTCTCTTTTCTAAATCAAATTTCTTTACTTCCTCTGCCAGACAATGCTATTACGCAGCCCCGTGTCTGGGCAGACCATTGTTATTATCGAGTAAATATATTCAAAAGTTCCGTAGTCGTTATGGCCATCGAAAAACTAACAGTACTAGAGCGCGATGCTCAAAAAAATGGTTTTAAGCCATTTCCAACAGACGTACACGGTACACATATGAAGGGTCGCCAAAGATCCACGTTGACTCTTGAATCTACCAAAATTGACATTTTTATATGATGATTAAATAATATGATTAATTACTTGTCTTTGTGCTGGAATAAACTGCGTTGTAAACTGAGTAGGGCAAACGTTGCCTTTGTGAGTTCCCACAGTTGCAACGTAAACTGAAATGGAACCAGACCTTTTTGCATTAGAGGCCCTACTTTGGTCGACGTTTGCCTTCCTCCATATTGAAAGGTTTGCGTTGTGAGAATCTCGTGATATTTGATCAGATTGTCGAGGGCATCAAAGGGCTTGAGAGAACGCATAAATATTAACAGTTGAAGAATCGTAGGCTTATTTTTCGTACACTGAAAAGTTTCATGTATATCCCGTTAACTTACTTTCCCATTAAGCTAAACCATTCGCTCTGCGGTAGAAATCTCCTGTACATCCAAGCAAACGGGCCGCACAAAAGGCTGGCGTTGACAAGGACTAGTTGTGATGCGAACGTTATTGCATTAGCTGTTGTTGAACCTTTCATTGTTGCCAGGCTTGCGGGCAACTATGTGAAATGGACTAGTAAAGATCCGCTAAAGAAGAGTAATAATTATTTTCTATAGAAAAAAATCATATTAATCAACCTGTAGCATTAATCTAGACAAACAGATTATTGCTTATAGCTAGGGTAAATGGTATAATTGAATTGGAAAGACGTAGTTATATCATACGCGGTGAACGTCAATGTATAGCCTTTTCGACAGCACACAACACCCATCCCAAGTTTTTCAGTTGTGTGGACGTTTATCTGGAAGCAATCCTTTTACATTGCTCGTTATGAAGCTGTAGCGTTTATAATGAGATACGGCCGGTCCAAAAAAAGCTTTCAGGAATCGTTGTTCAATTTACCCTGCAAAGCTAGGTATAAGGCTAGGACAATGAGCTCTTCAATGATGGCTTTTAAGGTTTTCTCAAGGTTTTTTTGTTTTTTACTAGGGATAGTTTTGACAAACGAATCGTCTTACTGCTAAAACTGATCATTTGTTAAAGTAAGATCGACTGAGGAAGCACACACTGAGCAATAATTCAAAATATTTTGTTTTGTGCATTAAGCGTTACTTCGAATGTATTTTGACAGGCAGTATTACGAAAATAATAGTGAAATTACTATGAAATGCTGTTAGTAATTGGCATCAATAGCTACTGCTAGTTGAAACGATGAATGATCAATGTATCGGACAAGGTAGATGATGTCACCTGCTAATAGTTCGATTCGAGTTATTCTTTCACTCTATGCGTATTTGTGCTTTTCCCAGAAGGACTTCAGGTAGCTCGCTCGCCCAGTAAATCCATATATGCTCAATGTGTACAACGATGTTTCCTAGAACCGAACTTCAACCAACCAGAGCTCCAACCGTAGATTTAAAAGCACTGTTTTGGAACTTCAGTCGCATGATAATGTGTTGCGTATTGAAGATTGACTCCTCCTTCAGAATATCCACTTCGACAACTGTATTGTAGAAATGGGCGCCAACCTCCTTGATTTGTCCTAGAACACGAAAAAGTTGAGCTCGCTTAAATCTCGACATCAGCTCTTTAGTCCAGTAAAAGATAGTTACGTTATTACAGATTTAACCTAAGCCCTTTGCAAATACGCTGGATCGTATTGTCTAATACGTGCCTATGTACATCTAGGTCCTGTCTAATCGAACTGCCTTCATATAGGCTTTGCAAAGATCTTCTCCGTAATGAAGACCTATATATAACATGACAACGATGGCTGAGCGTCCGACGTCCTTTTGTACAAAATGACCTAATACGCTACGCTGTCGTGTAATGCAATTACACGCATAATTAATATATATGACGTCGTTAATATGACGCGACGGCGCTCGGCATGAGACATTGTACCTTCTCGCATAGCCGAAACAGCGTTTGTTCCATATTATTCCATCGCTTGCCCAGTTCGCTTCCGCACAACGAACGATAAAAGTGAGACAAATTTTGACAACATAGTTCGGAACAAGCGAAAAAGCAACGACTCATAAATAAAATACATTGTATTTTACACGTACTAGCAAACACACCCAGTAAGTTAAAGGAACTTTATACATACAGTGCCCACATGTCAATAGCCACATTCTCAAGTAGGGACAGTGTGAGAACAAGTTTCGAGATGGTCCTGTTTTCGTCACAAAACATAAAAAAAGCTTTCATAGAGCGAGTTTTTCTATTTACGATTTTTTTTTTCTGTGGAATAATGTCTAAATCACTGGAGGACTTACCGATGGTATACCATAGATAACCCCTTCGAGCGCTCCGATAGTGAAGTGTCAGACCCGAGTCTGATTCTTGTTCGCAGAAAAACGAAGGTGCCTTCATTTTTGGGTAGCTGAACTTAAGGTACTCGTGCAGATTGTCCAGGCCATTAATAAAGTCTCGCATATGGCGACCTAAATAGAAATCGATTTGATGCAGCACCACACACTTTACTTATTCGGATCCGTTCCTTTGAGCGTAAGCAAACAGCTTTCACAAGAAAATTTTTCGTTTATACTTAGGGCAAATTATCTGCCCTTATGAAATAGATATTTATACATAATAACATTTGATCATATGTCAATGAAATAACGAGAATAAAATTCTTTTGTCGTAAGTGTTTCTTTGTCCAGTTGCTGGGAACTGTTTACCCTCGTAGTGCCGTTAATTCTAAGCTAAACCACACGCGTCATAGTAATCGAAGATAAGTTGAAGTTTTTTATGTTATTTATCAAAAATCAGTTCTTATATTGTATATGTGGTACAAGCAATGGACTAAATTATAGATAGTATACATTGGAGATGGGTCAGGACAGGTATTTTGAAGTAGATATCTGGCCGCTCTAATGTACACGTTGCCGAGATCATCTCTAGGCTATGGGATTACTCACAGTGGGGGAATATGATTATAGTTCAAACGGCCTCTATAGTTGACAATTCGAATAGGGTACATGTTAATGCCTGTTTTAAATACGCTTATTTGAAATAAAATTGACTATTTACCAAGTACGGAGAGGACGCGATCATATCCATACTGAGCGAGAAATGACACGAAAAATACTCCCATACCTTCGAAGAATTCGTTTTCCTGCATTTTTAATATCTGTTAATATACAATACAAAAAGAATTAGAAAGGCACTCATATATTAAGCTAGTTCTAAAAAAAAAGAACTATGTGTACATAGCATAATTAGTCGATGCGGTTCTCTAATTAAGTCCGTCCTGAATAGGGAAAAACTCTAGAATAATCTATAAGTTAAAAGTTACTAGCATTTAGATCACATGGTAGGTGTCGGTAGTGTAACAAGTCCTCATCATACTTCAGACACCGCATCTCATGCCTATTCAGAGAAAATGAGCTCGCGTAAGAAACTGCCCGCAACAATGGTACTCTTCAATGCGTTTATTAATGCTCTTCAAGGCAGTATCAAACCGAATGACAAAAACTGCTTTGTCTGACCCACTCAGATCTCAGACCGTAACTATCTACCTACCTACAAGCTATTTCAGCGTTATACTAGGTGTATCCCATATTAACCAATATGTTTGTCTCCTATATGCTTTCTATATGGTTATGTTGAAAAATACAGAAAGAGAAGAGTGGCATAAAAAATGTTAGCACTCACATCAGCGACCTCACACATTCGGCGTAAGCGTCAGAGGGAAAGCCACTAAAGTACCTAAAGCAATCTGAGCAAGAGGAAATGTTTCCTGGCTATTGCTGATGGGCATATATGTCCAAGGGTACAACGGTGGAGAGATGAGCTGGAGAATCCTAGCTATAGCTTAAATATTTTTAGTCTACCAATAAGCCCGACCTTATTACAATACGTATATTCGAGGACACACTGACGCCAGCCTGCTTGGGTCATAGGTTTTGTTTCGTAAGCTTAAGAATAACAAATTTCACCTCGACTGTGTTGGCCTGAAATTAGGTGTCCGCATTAACACTGGTAAATATTGCTAAATCTAAATATGCAACTGACCTGATCTGCAGGCATTGTTTTGGAAGGTTTTGTTAGGTACTTGGGAGTTCATTATAAATATACCGATTGTTTAGTTTGATCGCTTCTTGTCGTCTGGTTAGAAATTACAAACGTTAGCCCGACTGCTGCTAGTAAATAAGAGGTGTAGCTAGCGACCAAAGGAGATGCTAAACGATATTTGCAATGGTAAGGCAGATTCAGTAGACCATTATCCGGGACGGCAGACCTACACCAACATTTCCTCTACCTTTGGACTTTTATTATTATTATGATTTTTTATTGCAATCTTCGTATAGCCAATCAGTACCCCTGTACAAAATTTTAGGAAAAAGCTGTCGCCTCCATCAGCATTCCAGGTGGCCTCAGCTCATCCAAGTTTGATATAAGCGAAGGCTACCACAAGCATTGTACAAATGCAACAATTTCACCTCAGTCTCATTAGTATCAGTATGACTAAACGAGTGAGATGTTAACCTGGATTTATCTTGACAAGCCTACCCTGCTCTGTACATAGGACGACAGTCACAGCCATATTGATGATAAAACAACTAGTTTGGCTTGTAGCTTTGAGAAACGAGAGCAAAATAAATTGTTCGTTAGATCTGATGGTCCTAGAGGTTCTGGCCAGATCGTCGCAACCTAGAACAGAGGCGACGTCCTTGCCATTTCGCACAATGACAGTCGTTACGCTAATGTAAGCTTGGAGTACTCATGGTCGTTGTGTAGTCGGATTTTTCTGTCATGCCTTAGCAAAGCTCTCTATGTTCACTTGACTGTACTTAATGCGTCAACGGAAATCTACGCGTTTCTGCAGCGCCATCCCGGGAGGTGACCCCGTCAACACATTTTCGACCCATAAGTCACCATGTGTGTGCGCGCGTTACTTGAGCAATTTCTTTAAAAGACGAAATCCCGTTTACCACTTGATTGACTAATGCAATGAGATTTCTACACGAATCATTCATTCGTTCGTTTCCATACTTTACATTCGTGACATCACTGCTAGGACACAGGCACTCCAATCTGGCCGTGACCGTTTTCACTCGGCTAGAATATGGAATATATATATATGCTAAGCATTAAACATCATTCATACTGTTAACAGCCTTAGTTCAGATACTTCGCCTAGAAATATAATGCGAAAGCTGCATTTGCCACCATCCATTGTACGCTCCTTTTTCTTCTGTAAGGACGTAGCTATCCAGCGTCAAGTGCTGAATATATGGATTTTTTTGCGTACCCGATCCAGAATACAGTGATCTAAAGACGTACACATATTTTTGTAGACTTCCTAAAGAAGCTATTGTTGCTCGTCATATAGACCGTGCTCGATCTTGGGTAGTTGTTAGTGTTCGAAGCATAAAAATGCTCTTATAACGTGACTTTGGTCTCCGTGAATAAATAAAAAATAGCGTTATTTGGACATCGCTCTCAAGGGAATTATATGTATCGAACATCAATGACTAGATAAGTTTGCCTCAGCCAATTGTGTTGGCGAAATACACGTTCCACGTTGGCCTGAGCTCGTTTCCCGAATACTAACGCAAATACTGCATCTTTAAAAACTATTATATTTATATACTCGGGAATGGTATTTTACCAATGACAGCTGGCATACATCCCACAACCGCGATACCGTTAACACAGCGCGAGGAAGGCCCATCTATTTCGCACGTCTTATAAAAGGTATAGTGCAATACGTATTTTGATACGTTCTACAGAAACGAGGTTCCCAGATTTGCCAACCATATCCAGCACTTACAGAATTGAAAACGATTGTTTGTCGTTCCGAATAGACACTGAACTATAGAATACGTTGCGAGCTTTACCCTGAGGTACTTTACGAAGCCCCAAATACTCTTCAGCTAAAAACCAACGTTTAAGCTGCAACGACTCAGCTGGTCAGAAGTCACTGCGAAGTCGCGCGTTTCATGGGTCCGCTATGGGCCAATTGCTGCAGTGATGAATAAACAGGTTCGAACGCCTTCGTTATTATGCTTCAGGTGCTAATATGCAAACCGCGGACAGCAAAGATGCTGAAGCTTGCAGAGCCGAGAAAGCCATTTTTAATTAACAGCTATTTTTTTTCCATGTAGCGCCCTCTTAATGTTACCCGTCGTGTCGAAACGATCTTATCTCAGATCCAGAATAATGCACCTACATTACAATAGCCAGTGGTGTCGAAGGAGTCTGTCTTCACAGAGTCACTGCTATATCGATCTCAATTTTACAATAAAATGTTTATTTACTTTTAAGTAACGCCCCTTGCTTATCTGCTACTGAATGGTTCCAAATGCCTGCCAACGTGTCGAGAAAAGTTGTAGGAACTACAATTTTAATATATGGCTGTGTGCTGTAGCCTTTCTGTTTCCGAAAATTCTTCTATGATTTATTAAACAATGTTGGCTCCAATAACCTCGACGAGAGGGCAAATAATATCATTTACTGCGAACTTGGAGTGATCATTTTGGGTCGAACTTTTATACCAAGATGAAGTTAAAAAAGAATTGGGTGATGATTACACGGAAGTTTTCCAACTTCAAAAAAATTGTCTAACGTTTACATATAGGTCGCTCTAAACCCGTTAGCTTTCTGAGTTAACGCGGGTAGAGAATACATTCAAGATTATCGACTAGTTTACCAAACGCGACTGGTCCAAACGATGATCTAGTAACGTGTCCACCGAGAAAAGAAGCTTTATGTTTCATATTTCTATAATCCTTAAACCAACTGTCGTACGCACAATCTTTGTTGAAATAAATCGTAAAGATAGAGCTACGCTTTAGCTGATAGTTCGTCAAAGATGGCGACAAACCATGTCGCCGCTCGTAGCAATGCACTATGTAGTATTAGAGATTTTGCTTGATAGTTAAAAGTGGACGCTTGAGTTTTCCCGTGAGCCTGTTTCAGTACGAGGTGATCCTAATTTCTATAATTCCGGATAAGGTCGTACTATGTTACGTCGATTCATGAGTAGAGAAACGTACTACTATATAATACCAATAGCTGAGGAGGCATAACAGATACATTTACGAATAAAACATCTCGGGTGGACTCCTCATGGGAAATTTTTTTTATAGAAACACAGTAGATATGGGGGTGAATCCTGACGTATTGAGCCTTATCTTATGACAAAAAGAATCTAATCAAGATCAGACTGGAGTCGTACACTGAGCACCCGATCCAATGTAAGAAGAAATCACACTTTCAAAGCATTTATACTTGGCGTGTACGTATATATTGTCTAAGTACACGATCTGTATACATATTGGATTAGTCTTCTATTAGATAATCTAAGCGGTTCTTTTTAAATTAAGGTGTTTTTGCGGAGAACATAGTTTCGCTGGGCCGTGAACAGTCAACTCCCCTTGGCACCTAGCATTCACTTTTGGCAGTTTAATAACCGCTTCACTTGCAAGAACGCTAATAGTAAAGGCCACTTGTATTCTTAAGCCTTCTTTAAGCCACGTGTTAAATCACAACTTCTCAGAAGATATAAAAGCGATAATTACAAGAATAATGATTTAAGAACCTAATCAGATAGAGGCATCTCGGACACGACCTGTATTCCAGGGAAAACCAGCCTTGCTTTGAAGTTAGGTATCGGACATATTTGATAAGAGCGGACATCCCCGCCAGGTGGTAGGTACGTGAAAAGCGGCCAAGAGTCGTTGAGTTGACTGGTCACTTTCGATGACATTGTTCATGAGGCACAGTCTCCATGAGTTTCATTGGGCAGCATTGATCCGGCGAGAGAGTGCAATCTACAATAGGTCCGACTGGAAACATTGTCAGTATAGGTTTACAAGTAGTATTTGTTTAACAACGGCGTACAGCTTGTTTGCATAGTTACTGAAACTGAGATTCATTATATAGATGATTAAGAGTACAAGGCTTCATCTTTTAGAGAGGAAATTTTAGCTATGTAAGGATGAGCACAAATGAACTCACTTCTTAAACATAATTTCTCATCTACAAGATACTTCCTTGTGTATGTTCTCATTCCGAGACATTTCTATACATGTGGGTCGTTTGCTAAAGCTTTCGATGGCCGTTCTCAGCTCAATTTCTACAAAGTTGCCCCGAATCACCCCATGCGCCTGGGCGAGTAAAGTAAGTCTCATAAATAAACTAACCTTACAGCTCTTTGCGACAATGCGATGAACGATATTATCCGGATAAATGTCGTGCGTTGTGAAGGAGGGCTGTTCCACTCTTGCTTGCCGACGAATCTCCGCCCACTTGTCCTCTCCGTAGACAGTAATGATGTATTGTCGAAGGTTTTCGAAAATTAAGCCGTACATTCTGTAACCGGAAAGCGTTTCAAAGATTTCCAATAATCTTATTTTACATAAAACGTACATATATAGACGACTCACTTGAAGCTTGAATTGACCAGCCCGAACGGAACCGCAGTTACACTTGAACTTGCTAACAATAATTGCTCTACGTGATACGTAAACTTAACGAACGAGTCAACGAAATCGGCATCAGCAATATTTTCCCTGGTAGGAACGTTAGCTAGATATAATTGTCTGCTCTTTATAAAAAAAGTACTTGCGAAAAACACTATTTTTTTCATACTGTACAGCTATTTTCTCGTAGTTTTTAAACAAACTATTTAGTTTCTAATGGCGGATAAAATAATACTGTTTTAAACGGATACGCTTTGTTCGACAAGAGCTTGCGGTTATCTACCTAATTTATTTATGGAAAATAATTAACCTTTCGACCTTAGTTCACTGACCGCAAACCGATCTATACGCGACCCGGCTTTTTCGGGAAAACAAAATGCAACGTCATAATTTTCAGAAAATCGTCTTCTTTGAGTAATAACGTCAAAAATATGAATAGGACTATGTAAAGTATAAGATTAGAATACAAGCACAGAACCCCTTTCAACCGTTCTTAGATAAACGAATTTCTATGTAGCACTAGAAATTGTCACAGTACGTGTACGTACGTACGTCTAGAGTTCGAATAATAACTGTGAATAGAACCGAGGAACCTCCTAGCCATAAACAAACCGGTCCACATCAATGTCTTGAACTTCACACCGGGAGACGGAGCACTTTATTTAGAAGCGCTGACTTAGTGCGATGGCTCGCCCGTGTCTGAAGCTGAGCAATGTGTTCCCATAAAATGAATCTGGGCGGACTCATTCGCTGTGGACGCCTCTGTTTATCGCGCCCTCATATTGCGTCTCGTTGCATGAACTTGTGAAGCTGTAGCAACAATAACAATAACAGTGGTAGCGTTTTCTTCCTGCTTTGCATTTTATCAACACTGCCATCCAATTGCTGTGCAGTACGAGAGTCGTTCTGTGTAAATTGCTAGTACTTTCAATTTGGCAGACGCTTTTGTTACGAATCGCCCACGGAAGTTACTTTGTAGCTTTATTGCCGTTTTTTTACAGTTGACTTTGTATACAGTTTACGTATTCCATGTACTTGTGTGTCCTGATCCCATTTCGCGTCCGGCAATGCCCATCCAGGTCGATCATCAGAAGACCCTTATCGACATATCGTTTTGGGTTAGAAAAGATACGGCAATTTTTTTTTTTGGCTATATATTTTCAAGTGAATAGAAAGAGGCGTTGCCTGTGACAATTTGATGAAAAATGAAATTATTTTTTGGTGTTTCCTTTCACCGATGTATGCATATGCTTCGTTTTCGTATACTGTGGTTTCGTATACGAGAGTCTGCTAACCCAGGGCAGCAGCGATGTCGACGAAAGTAAAAAGTTAAAGTATGAATTTCTTCATAACATGAAATGAGCAACAAGCGTGCTACTGACAAATGGCAACTTACTTGAGACCGAAATCCTCCCTCGTTCTATGAGCACCAGTGTTCTGGGCACGTTGCTTAAATCCTAAATGTATCGCCAGATTTTTACATTCTTTTATTATTGTGACGCTGGAAATTTATAATTTTATATTGGTAGAAGGCTAAGCGGTATTAGCTGGCAAACAAATACTTTAAAGCCTGCTTTATATAGTAGGAATATTATGAAAATATGTTGGTCATCTCTGCCGACATTTGTCATCTTCTATGAAGATCATTAGGTTGAATATTGAAGTGTTTCAAAGTGTATCTTATTCAAACGATGTTCACGGAATCATACATCTGAAGCGCTGTAGAAGTTTTCGATAAGAGTAAGATCTTTTAAGACCTAACTTTAGCAAGTGCAAGTTTCAGGAATTTATATTGTAAAACCATCTTGATCCCTTTCAGTTAGGGCAATTACAAGGAAATTAAGAAATCGAAAGTGTAAAAATCACCGAAAAAACACTTAAAAACAACACTTCAAATAGATAAGAAGATCTTCAGTCTGTCATTATCTATGTCTTATTTAATGTCAATTTCTAACCTTTCTCCTCACTACATTTATTACTATTAGTAATAAATGTTATTATTACAGTGTTGTTATTAGTAACCTGATTACGTATCGACATGGGCTACCACTATTCAATCGTATACATGGTAGGCTATTTTTTTTATGTTAGCCTCGAGAAAAAAAGCATTTAGTAATTAAATGAAGATATTTAAATGTGCCAGAACAGGAAAGCTGTTCTAATTGCGTGCACTGTTATGTGGCCTCTTGCAAATTTTACAACTTGGCTTTCCAATAAAGTTCCTACCTGAGCAAAAACACATAAAGTAAGTGTTACTTGTTGCAGTAAGAAGTTCCTTGTCTTCTAACAAATATAGCACATGTGGCCATGCGAAGCAGAAGCTACTTGGCTCCAAGTCTGGAAAGGTGCCCTCTACAATATACCGCACCATTTCGCAAATACGTATTCCCATAGGTGTGCCAGAGCTACGTTTAACATTAGCTTAATATGTGTTTAGAACTGGCTTGGCAGCACATAGGCATTTGATTAGACCGCTCTAGCGAATGGTACCATTTGTTTGTCCAGATAACGCGTGCTACGCTAAAATGTACTTGTATTGACGATACCGTCTAACGTTTTCGCTTCCTGTTCGAAAAAATCCTATACCAGGCATGTCCAGTAGGTGCCATAAAGTAGAATAAAGACGACAACTTGCCCGTAAAGAACAGTTGATTGCAAGAATCACAGCGCTCTGGGGGCTCGGGTCATAGGCTGTCCACAAGATCACCGTGGTGATATCCATTATGGGAGCAGCGAACGAAATGGTGCCCTCGGGTGACATGGGCACAGCGCAGAACAATCAGGAAATGGCTGACTGGGGATATCGAATCGGGCGAGCACAAGGCTAACACGACGAGAAAACCGTCGCGTTTCAATAGGGCTAAGGTTTCTTCTCCAGACTGACTTGAGAATACGTTCTATTTTACGTTCTCGTTGTACGTTGTTGCCAGTTTCAGCAATACTTAATATACACACCTCGCGCGTTAATATACACCTTTAATATACACGCACTTCTACAACCTGCTTTTGCGGCCTAATGTTTATTTACGACTTAACTTTCGCAACGATACTTATAGACGGATTCTTGCCATCAGTCTTGATCAGACGCATTTGTAATATACACATGAAATTTGCGTGAATAAAATATATGGGGTAGGCTATATAGATGTATTAGGTGTCGACTGCAGAGGACTATTTGCCAACAATGGAGCTCTCTACAGAGTTAAAAACAATGAAAGTAACACGATGTTTCACAACTTATTGAGGCAACATGTTTTCATCCTATAAAGTGCGACATGAACCCGACCAGGTATACGCTTCTGGTGTAGGCCTCCTTTGAATTCTTCAAGCCACTACGACTGATTCAATCAAAACAACGGAACACAGTTATTGTATGGCATGCCAACGCGTTTGGCCATTCAGACTGTATCATAGGCGCTATTTAGTACGGGTGGTGATCATGATTTTATATTGTCTCTTCTGTATTGCCCAGCGCAGAGCGGATGACGCAACACGCCGCATAAGAGCGATTGGATAAAATACATAGTAGTTATACGTATCATTATGAACGTACGTCGCGTTTCTATAGTGTGGAACTTTTTTAAAACTAATATTTAACATTATTTCACCCTAAACAGTACACGGGCACTGTCGCGTTCACAGAATTACACGCTATTTGCCTCTGTATAGTGCCTCGACTTCATTCTACCTTAAGTGGCTTGTGGCCGACTTCAAATTCACTTTGTCGTTAGCTGATGTAAATGTTGACGTCTACCCAGGATCATCTAATTGCGGTCACTGAAGAGACGGACCAGATCTTTCGTTATTCCTCAAAGGTATAGTTTTTCTCCACCATACAAATGAGTCGGGTGAGTGTCTGTCCCAGCTGCTTCGTACAGTTTCTATGCGCATTTGTCTCAAAAGGCGTCTTTTAGTTAAGCTAGGTTTGTTCTAGGGAGAGCCTGACGTTTCTACTAAAATGTTGGCCAATGCTAACCCATGCGAACTTTAGGTTCCTGCTCGCCGATAGTACTATTTAGGTCGATCTATTAATGCTCTGCGTAGATACAATACTGGTATACCCAAACAAAGCGAAACCCGATCGAGCTACCCGATGTATAACCTTCATGTAATGATTCATACGCTATTATTCTTCATTATGTGATACTTTTTACACACACATATAAACCGCGTTTGATCCAAATGGGTGATCCTTGAGAAAAGTTCATGTTTTTATAATTAAACGGAAATTTTCGTGAACGGTGAAGTCCGATCGTAACCTCTATAAAATTTTGTAGATGGTCAAATTGACTGTCAGTCATAGGCCTGATGTTAACTTGGAAAACAAAATAGGTCTAAGATTGCTCAGGACATTGGTCATCTGAGTCGCCTAAAGGCTCATTAATATACGTAAGTGTCCTCATAATGGCACAGTGGCAACGTGTTCGAATACTAAACCTAAGTATATATGGGGTGATTTACGTTCGAAATCGGGAGCTGATATAGTTTTTTTCCTGCTGGAAACCAGCAGTCTGTCAAGCAGCGGACGTATAATGTAGAAAAATTTCGATATCCGAAAGCTAGGCCAAGTTCCTCGTTACGGTAGACCTATCGGCGCACTTCGTCAATATAAAATACTGCTGGATGGTGAAGTATTCTGTAAAATGTGTTAGGGATGCGTACCCCTATCCCCCAACAAAAAGGTAATTGTCGTTCCCCTTGTCAGTGTTCCATTGCTGTGCCAAAAATAAAATTCCTGTCTATTTGTATTTCTCAAACACAGCCCATCTAAATTTGCCTGTATGTTCATTCGGCCTTCCACACATACACACGGTTGATTTGCGCGCGCAGGCGCCACAGCCGGTCCTAAAAGCGAGAAATGTCGCAACGGAACTATATGAGATACATGCG